TAAAAATATTTAAGGGCATATCTATTTTTATGTCCCATATGTATATTTTTTAAAAAAATAGTGAAATGATTTTAAAAATGCAAAATTTTTTTTTTTAGTTTTTGTCATATGGAATTTGGTTATCATACAAGGTCAAAATCATTAATTGATTTATATGGTTGAATATTTTTGTTGTTGGGTTTAATATAAGTTTAATTTCCAAAGTGAAATAGAAGATAAATTAATGTCAAACTTACAATAAAAGCCAGGTTTGTTTTATGGCCAGGCATCCTTATGTTGGTTTGTAATACTTGGTCAGAAGAGCAATTTTTCATTTGTTAGCTTAATTTTTTAATGTATATATCTGTACTGATAGGAAGCACCTTTTTGTGTAAGAATTAGACTACAGTAAACTCCGCTTATAACGAACTCATTGGGACATTCAAAATCTGTTCCTTATATCTGGAGTTCCTTGTAAGCATATAGCGAATTAGTTCCTTGTATCAGGAGTTTTTAACGAACAGTTTTACTTTATAACGAACTGTTTTGTTAAACATCGCTCCGCCTTTTTTAAGAGCATTTGATTAAGAAAGTCATTTATTTTTTTTTAGACACAATACCCGAAAGCGTACTTTTTTGGAATTTAAAAACCCTTTTGCTATTTCAGTTTTAGTTTTACTCCCTTTCTAAATTTTTCAAAAAAATATAATATTTTTTTTCTTAACTCGGTCCCTTTTCTTTTTTCTTTAAAATGAAAAAGAGTAAATACGATTTTCCATTTTTTTTCCCTTTTTTATTTTGATTCAGAAATCTTCTTTTATTTTTTTAAGGGTGACTTTAATAATGAATATTAAAAATTTTTTTCATTTAATAAAAGAATTTTTGAAGTTTCTATGGATAATGTTTGCAACATGCCTTTATTTGAAAACCCATAAAATTTTTTTACTAAGCAAAACATTAAAGAAAAGAAATTTTAAATAAAAAGGGAAATTTCCTTTTTTTCTTGTACAAAACTCAAGATAAAAATATCCAAATAGAAAACTATTACATACTTTATACAAATTCATTTTTATATATTGAAATTACATACACAATAAAAGTACATTCCGCGGTTTTATTCCGTGCCAATGAAAACAAGTTGAAAAAGGGGGTAATTGACGAATATGATATTTGGGGTTTCGTTATAAAAGTGTACTTTTATGCACTTTTTAAAAAAATTGGATAAGAAATGAGTTCCTTATAAACGATAATTCCTTAAACCGTGTTCGCTATAATGTATATTTTTATATTAAATAAAGAAGGGCAAAATTCGGGCCAAAATAAATTGTTCCTTATAACCGGAAGTTCGCTATAACCGTGTTCGCTTTAAGTGAAGTTTACTGTATATAGGTCAAAAGTCAAGGTTACAGTGACGCTTTATTTAAGTATTTATTAGGTTTTAGCTTAATTATAAATTTGTAAAGTGTATTTCCCAACAGTTTCCAAACATCAGAGGTTCATATGGCATGTCATGTGCAGAAAAACTGACCTTGACTTAGTGTATAACTAGGTCAAAGGTCAATTTCTTTATTTGCCTTTAAAGGTTTGCTTAATGATGACCAAAAATAGTGTGTGTTTTTTCTGCCGTATGAAATTAACCATCGCCTTAAGTTTTTTTCTATCATAAAAGTGATTTAGAATTGGCTTTATTTGTATTTTTTTGGTTTTGACCACAAGAGTACCAGGATGTGTCAGTTACAGTTGTGAACTTTAACATCACATTTTTTCAGTAACAAAAGAATGTGTGAAAATTTCTTTCTTACTTAGTACCTACCAAAAACAATGCAAATCTCACTTTTGCTTTATTATAATCAAAGTTGTACTGACATATGAAACCATACAGCACTAATGTTACAATTTTGTATTGTTTAAATTTCTTTGTATATTTGAAATAGCTTTTAAACTTCAGTTTCAAGTTCTTTTTACATATTTGCACTAACCTGAGTGGTGACTATCATACTATTTGTCGATTATGACGTCAATTGTCAATTTATATCCCATTGATTTATCAGGAAGTACATCATTACTTATTCTTTTACATATAATTTTATTGTTTCAATCAGGATTTTACCAAACACTTTAATAACAATAATCAAATTATAATAATTAAGATAATATCAATTGAATTGATATTGATATCATCTTATAAGGTCATGTAGTTTTCTTTTAAACTGTCAAAAGTGCAATAAGATCTGTATTTAAAGGCCATTCTTTGAAAATTAAAAAAAAAATTCTAGAAAGGTGACGGTTTGGGAATTCTATTTGCACCAATATGCTTTGTTGGGGTGCTCTAAGGCTTTTGTTCAATGAAAAGTGAAAATGATCCTGTGTACTACAATACTAGTCGTTTTGTTTGGTGCAAAATTAGAGGGGGATACATGTATGTACAACAATTGCATTGACTGCTTTTACCCAGTTATTCCTCAGGGCTTTGTGAGCAATATATTTTTCTTATCCAAAAAATACTTTAATTGTTTTTAATTTTTAATGAATTTCATAAAGCACGGGTGCTGGTGGGGGAAGAGATAATGTGTATGTTCTACATCCTTTATATGGATTTTTATTACTGCATGTATGTTTTATATGGTTTATATATATATTAATGTGGTTTTTATTTCTATATGTGTATTTTATGGTCTTTATCACTGCACAATCATTATGTATTATATGGTTTTTATTTCTACAAATATGTATTACATTTGTATATGGTTTTTATTACAGGAAACAGAAGCAAGAAAATGTTACACAAAAAGTGGAAGTCCCGAAGGAACCTTTACCCATGGGAGCAACAGCCCTTCCCCATCCTATCTGGTAATTTTTTAAAAACGTTGTTCATATACTGGTGATTGTACTGGTGATTATTTTCCTTTAATAAATAGGATAGAACTAAACCATAATTCAAATTATTTTTTCTGGAAGAAAGGAGAGTGTCTAAACCTATATAATAGTTAATTCTGAGTGGTAATTTATTGAATTTAGTGTAATAAGTTATCCATGGGTGAATAAAGAATGTTTCATACATACTGATAGTATTAGGTTTATTAGATTAAAGGGACTCCACTGAGATTTTGTTAACATGACGAGACTGGAAATATTTTCCAAGGTTTGTGTACCATTTGATGTAGGAACATTACACTAATAACATGTGTGCAAATTTTTGGATCATTAATTCCCACACCCTGTTTTTCCTGAATTCTCATTTTTATTTGAATGTGCAAAATGACTTAAAATGCTTCCTGCTCAAATTTGGCTAAAAATCGCAAAAAATCAATATTCAATGTAATCTAGCTTTTAGTATTGCTCTCAAATTTGTCCATTTTAAGTGCTTCATTTGAACAGTTATGTAAGATAATTTCAAATTTTATGTTTGAGGGCTCAGTGGAGCTCCTTTAATTTTACAATATACCGTTAAATTATTATTAAGTATAGAGGCAGGTAAGGGTACTAAACAACATAAATATATTTTGCATTCTGACTCAATTTTATTGTGTCTGTAACAAGATTTTAGTAATTTGATACTGAACACCCTCAAACTACTAGTGGATAGATCCAAATTCTGAGTAGGGCAAGTCCATTGTACAAATTTAGGCAAATGAATTGTATTTACTGCCAATTAATGGCATATTAATTTTCTTTAGAAATACATGTCGCTGTTTCTATAGAAACTTTATCTTATCAGCTCTGGTTCTCTATACCGCACTGTTTATCCTACACTTCAAAATGTCCTTATCAAAAGGTAATCAATATCAGTGTATTAATTCAATAATAATATTGAGGCTGGGGTACTATCTTGATAACAGAACAGCTGATAATTTGTTAGAAATAATAATAGTAATGACTTTATTTAAAGAGGTTACACAGTTGCTGTTATGACAGGAATAATCACTGGTTGCTTAATTACAACTTCAGAAAGTTTAAGTCACAGATCACAGATTTGATTACCGATAAACGCTACTAATTACAAATGTTGGTGATTGCAGATTTTTATTATTTAAGAATTGAAAATGTTTTAATGTTTTCTTCACTAACAACTTATGTTTTTAATGTTTAGTGCATCTTATTTTTTCAGGTCTGAAGAAGAGCTACATAATGTGCATATAACTCATAAGCCCCCAGAGGGAAAAGTAGACAAGGTAATAAAAGAGTCTTGATTTGATGATGGGACATTTCTTTTGTAGCTTTGCATTTTTTTGCAATTTAAAGGTAGAGTCTACATGTACTGAAAAATGACCTTATATGATCACTATACAAAATTTTGGTGTCTGTTGTGTTTCCATATTCTAATTGTAATTTACCAATTACAAGACATGTTTTTATTTTGCTCATATAATATGAAAGCTGCTTGGAATGCTGACCTGGAAAACAATTTTGGTCAAATCTGAAGATGGTTAGTCGAACCTAGACCATTTTATTGGAAGGAAAATCTTGTGAACACCAAATTAGAGTAATTGACAGCAGTACTATCATAGCTCTTGTGTTTCCATGCTGCTTAGACTATTTTAAAGCTTATATATCAATGAACTATACTCTTGTGCACTTTCTGGAACTTACCATTACTGATGTCAATTGTAATGAAACTTGCTCATAAGCCCAGTATGGCTTGAGCACGCAATACCTTGGTTAAAAGGCTGATGCTTATAACATTTGTGCCAAGTTTGATCAGTATTGAACTATTTTTATAGTTTCATAGCAGTTTGAACTTGAAACAGGAGGCTTTTCAACTAAAACAGCCATTTTTGACAATATGCTCATGCAGTAAAAGGTGAAAGGATCCAATTATTGCTGTTTTGCGTCAAACCTTTGATTGACCACATTTATTATTAATATTTGCATTAAGAGTTGGTAAATATTCTGCTGAGAATATTTTTAAAGTGATTTTTAGTCTTTTGCAAATATGAGTTACAATTACATCAATATTAAAAACTCGCGTCACACGTCCTTCCGTGAGAAAATGAAACCATTAACTAATGTACCTATAGATATTTTTGTAAAGTTTGGAATGGTCATTACTTAAAGTAACCTCTTGGGCATTGGTTCATAGATATTTACTGGAGACTAATGACTTTTCATTGACACTACTTCCCCAAGGACAAGTCGAGCTTTTAACATGGTGTACAGCAAATATTGTTGCATGTGACATTGATACTGGATACTAAATATTGATTACTGGTCCCATTAAGTACATGTACATTACTGTTAGGATTTAATAAAGAAAAATGACTTCATTTATTGGTACAGGTTGTAACACATTTCCAACCCCCATCCCCCTCCAATAATTTGAAAAGTTATAAGTTCAACACAAGTCCATATGTACAAATTTAGTGGTAATAATGGAGTGGTACTTAATGAGTGTTACAAATGTAGTGGTTACCAAAATTGGTACAAATTTAGTGGTAATAATTTAATGGTATAAAAGTGATACAAATTAGTGATATTATGATTATGTGGTAAAATTTTTATACAAAAGTAATATAAATCTATTGGTTAAAATTTGCACATATTGAAGAATAAGTTATAATACGTATTTATTCTGTTGTTTCAGATGGCCTATTTTACAGTAAAAACTGTGAGAAGAGCATTTGATCTGGTGTCTGGCTTCACGTGGGGAGAGAGAAATGAATACAAATGGCTGAAGTAAGTAAAACTTAATAATGTTACAGTCAAGATATTTATCAAAGCAAGTTTTAAAGATGCACAATATTAATTATTAAAAGATATGGAAGGATTTTTAATTTAAGCTAGTCGGCCATTAAATGCATGATAATTGCAGAAAAATTTATGTTTTCTTTTAATATAAAAACCTGATAAATAGTCTTCTTTTCTAGTTTCTCACTTTCATCAATCAAATCATTATAATACATCTATTTGTTTACTTATTAATATAAAACAATTGCTTTGTCAATATTCTAATTGATTATTAATATTTTACAGCCGAATAATATTCCTGGAGACAGTTGCGGGTGTACCTGGTATGGTGGCAGCCATGACACGTCATCTTCATTCATTACGACGTATGCAAAGGGACTATGGCTGGATACATACATTATTAGGTAAAGGATTATTGTCGGTTTTGGTATTTTGAAAAAAAATTGATGAAAAAAATTTTGCATTTTTATTTTCAGACTCTTCTTATGATTCTAACAATGAATCAATGTATATAATACTTAAGTAGTTGGTTAACCCTAACCTTCTGATGGAATAAAGGTGTCTGCCACCCAATCCAGGGATCATACGGGTTCGGGCGGTACTGGGGTCATGACCATGTTTCTTCATATAACACTAGTACTGGTTGGTTCCAGGAAGTGGACTCGAAAGTGATTAGAGCTTGTTTGGCAAACAAGTTTAAATAAATACGTTTAAACCAATCACTGATGGAATTGCAAAACATTGAAATTTGAATGGTCAAGAATTTAGGTTTAAGTGATTTCAATCTAAGATTATATAAAAGTTGTATTTACTTTTTATGTATCAGTAAACTGTGTATAAATCAATTGAGAACTGACTGATGTATTTCAGAGGAGGCAGAAAATGAAAGAATGCATTTAATGACAGCATTACAGTTGAAACAACCATCACGAAAGTTCAAATGGTGTGTTATAGGAACTCAAGGTAATTTTTCAAATCTTATTTTAATTTCTTTGTTCTAGCTGGTACTTTTTTAGTATAATTTAAACATTTCATACACAGAAAAGTTGTATGAATATTAAGAGCGCTGGGAGTGATAATGATTTGTCCATGCTAGAGGTCTAAGTTGGGACTATCCGCACATCTAGGGTCAAGAGGTAAGACTGCAACATTATAAATTTAGACATTGAAAATTTGCTACCCCCTCTACTGCTACTCTACCAATGTTTAAGGATTGAACATTTAATCAGGTAGGGCTGTCATTGATGGACAATTTTGTATAGATCAAGAGACAAATATTGACTATATATCGATACATCGACTTTAACAGTAGGTACAATGAAAAACAGTTAAATATGTGTTATAAATTGGGATCATGGTGTATTAGTCATTACATTCTCTTGTTAGGCTAAATAGAGGGGTATATTCATAAACAGAAATAAACAAATTTTAGCTTGTATTGATATTTGAAAGTGTGTTTTGATATTTAATAGGATGATGAATATTAATGATAATTATATCTATATCGCTATTGCGATATTCAATGACAGCCCAATACATGTTTCCTTAACGTTGGGGGTGGGGAAAGCAATGAAAATCTAGGGTATAGCTGATTTATAAATATAATTTCAGGAGTGTTTGTTGGAATGTTCAGTGTTTGGTACCTGTTTTCACCCAGATTTTGCCATAGATTTGTTGGCTACTTGGAAGAAGAGGCAGTCAAAACTTACACAAAATGTCTTGAGGTATGTAAGAATGTACTAATAGTATATTTTGTAACATTTGAAGTATGTGGAGGAAAACATGTGCAACATTAAATGTTTTGAATAGTGTAGTTTACTTTTTATGATGACATTTTGTTGTTAGTATAAAGTTAATACAAAACCATGTAAAGAGGAACCTTAGATTAGACATGGTCATTCTATTATAGCAACTGTTTTATATTTAGAACTGAAGAGAATAGACACCTTTATGATTTTAAATATTAAAGGAGCTCCACTGAGGTCCAATGGCCTAAAAAAGTTAAAACTTTTGAATTTCATACATTAGATCAATTGGGGCACTCAAAAAGTTACAAAAGATTATAGAGAAATTTATCAAATTGACAAACATTTTATTTTGCTATCCTTAGCTTGATAGGAGTTAAAAGCATTTAAATGCAGCTTCATCGGAGTTAAAAGCATTTAAATGCAGGGCTCATTTTGCACATTTAAAATGACTTTTCTGGTAAAAACAAATCTGAACTGAAATTTTGCACGCAGTTGATTTCTCCAGACCTTCATCAAATGGTTCAAATGTTAATAAATGTAATTCCAGTGCTTTTATGTAAATAAATCAGAGTGGAGTCCCTTTAAAGCTTATTTTACAACTGTATTAAATTTTGTGTGTTTGTATTTTGTTTTATTTTAGGACATAGAGTCTGGTAATTTACAACATTGGAAAACCAAACCAAGTCCAGAAGTTGCCATATCCTACTGGAACTTGCCAGTAAGTTTTATAATAATTAAAACACTATTTTCTGTTCAGAAAATACATGTACATAATGTGCCCTATTGTCAGAGTTCCTGGATGAAAATATAGACATTCATTTAGGATGTGACACTACAGATACTCTGTATTTCTTGAATTTCAGATTACTTTTATTTACACTTTGGTCTTTAACTATAATAAGTGAAAAATGTTACTAAACATATTATTACTATGTAATTGTGGATTAATTTTCTTTTACATTTACTGATTGGAGAGATAACTCCGACACTTAATCACATACTTTTTGTAATATCTTAATTATCTTCCTGTATATTTTAAATGTTGAACCACCTAAATAAAGTTCAGTTCAAAGACTTTACATGACACTACAAAAATTATGTATGAAAATGAGAATTTGTACTTCTTTAAGGTCCTGAATGGGGTATACAAAACATGGTCTTTTTACCCCTCAACAGTAGATAAAGTCGACACTTAAATTTTTAAGTAAAAAATGACAGGAAAATCAGCATCATTAAGTTCATTTTTACATCTCTTATATGAATGTATGTATTTTTTGTTGATGTAAAAACAAGTTTCAAAAATATTTCCCAAAGTCAGTGACCTGTGGTCAATACATTTCTTTACTACCTCATTGTAATTTAGTAAAAAAAACGTTTTGAAGCAGTTTTGCCACGAAAAGTTTCGGTTAAATTGAAAAATATTAAAAGTTTACCAACTTACAAAAAATCATTCACATTCTGTCCTGCTCCTATAACTACCTAGGTGAACAATATGCTTTTTGTTGAAAAACAAAATTATAAAAATTATTTTTATCAAGTGTCGGGGTTATCTATGCGTCGGTGTTATCTCTCCGACCAGTAGAGATGTATTGCTCTTGTAAAATATTAAACAACCTGAACTGGATAAGACAGCTCAGCGAACTATTTTTATACAGTTTAAAAGCATGATCTGCCAAATTTCGGCAAATACATTATTATTTGATTTAAGAAAAAAATAGTATTAATCATTTTGCCTTGTATATAGTCACATTTGTGCAGTAATAAGCTAACTCTTATTCAATTATATAAGGAATTAACAGGTTTCTGCACTTAGGTGACGATATGTTTAGTTCATACAAGATGCATATGCCTGCCTGTATGTGCTACATAAAAAAATCATTGCCTATTTCATTCTATTATTATATTATAATTACAGGAAGATGCGACTATGAAGGACGTAATTCTGGCAATCCGAGCAGATGAGGCACATCACCGACTGGTGAATCATACTCTAGCTTCTATGAAGCCCACAGACTATAACCCCTATAAACCTGGAAAATAAAAGAAAATCCTATAAGTTAAAGTACAAAAATTGAAGTTGGAAAGTGTTTGACAGTGAAGTTATTCATTGTTTTCATACATAAAGTGCACATTGTGAAATATGGAGGAAAAAAATGTTTATCTGCATTATTAAAATTACAGAGCTGAAAATAATTCTATATCTTGGAAAAAAATATGTACGTTTTGTGAATCCAGGACAATTCTGTATAAAAGAAAAACCAGGGTCACATGTCACCATTCACAATTTGAACAAGTTTGTATAAATTTTAATGATGTAAATGATTAGATAAAATATGAACCAAAAAGGAGATTTTTAAGCCATTGAAAATTTTGATTTGAAAAAGGCCTGAAAAAAAATTTTGAACCAAAAGACCCAGTTTGTTTTAAATTGGTAATGTATATTCTTATAACAAAGATTGTTTTCTATAATTATATTGTTACATCTGCCAACTGGTTAAAACTAGTTGTACGTTTGTATCATTTTTCAGCCTGTGAACAAATAACTGTTTGTCTAATTGTTTTATAATCAGAAAAATAATTAACTTGTTATTTTCTGTATCCATTATGTTCAAATTATTGTGCTTATGTACAGATATATACATAAATATTAATATATCTACAAATTCATGGGTTTAGTATCAAACACTTAATTTGGTCTAGTGGTTAAGATGTCTACCTCTCAACCCAGGGATCATGGGTTTGAGCCTCACTGGGGTTATGACCATATGACCTCATATGACACCAGAACTGGTCAGTTCCAGGAAGGAGATTGGAACTGGTTCTAGCTTTCATCACAAATTGTGCTAAAATAAATAAGTTTATACCAAGTTCTCCACTGGTAAATTTCTTAATAACTAATGACTTAATTGTCACAATCTCGGAAATATTTTTAATCACAAGTGTTATTGTTTTGTTTTTAACTTTATACATGATACATGTCACTTAGATAAGAAAATGTTAATGTAAACATGTTTTTTTTTTCAAAGATATGTTTTCATGTTTATTTGAAATAATTATGTACATGTATTAATTATAATAAGTGCATAATATATTTGTAGAAAAAATATTATTTGTTTTTAGCTTTTTGTAGAAATGTTGTTTTTTTTGTGTGTAGAAATGTAGTAATGTATATTGTATTCTTCAGTAGACCAGGAATTATATGCGGGCGTGTAACTTGGTATACTATATTGCTTGTTATTGTGCCATTGTTGTTAACGTTGTTTTATTCCACCATACTTGCCAGGTAATTTATGGTCATGTCTGTATTGAATTTGGATTAAAGTTTGTCCAAGGTTGATTTTAATTATTTAGTGTTCGACACTTTGCAGCAAGTGCAAAAACAAGAGTTAACAATTATGATTTAGACATCTTATTTGTGAAATTCTGTTCAAGAAAAATGTTTAAGTATAGAATTCCGCCCATAGTGAAGACCATTCCTTCCCAAGAAAATTTCAAAGTTGAAAATCCTGTCCAAGATGAAATGTTTAAGTATAAATTCTGCTCCAAATAAAATTCCAGCCGGAATTTTTCTAGTTTTCCGCCCAGAAAAGTGAACAAAATATTTTTCTTGCGAGACGGAATGACACGGAATTTGCGTTTCCGTTCCTGGTCCGCCCAGAAATCACTGATTCCGTGTCAATTCCGTGCCAATTCCGCCCAGAATCCGTGCCAAAATTTCGTACAGGTATAGACATCTCATCTGATTTCCTTGTGCTGTTTAAAACTTCTAATAAATACGTTCACTAACACCTGGTTGTAAATGTTACTAGCTTTAATGTCGGGGCAATTAAGGATGTAGTAAACTGTGGATCTAAGCAAGTAAATGAGGGAGCTTATGTCAAAGAAGGACCAATAGTATTTTGACTTAAATACAAGCTTATTGATACTGTGATAATAAAATAAATCAATACTAATTATGAGGAATTGTAATATTTGCTGAATTCTTGCAAGTATAATCAATTGAAAGGTCATGAATTCTAGAATGTGTCTGATATTTTTTAAAGATGAATCTATGTTCCAAGTTTGATGAGAATTTTGTAGAATTGTGACAGCAAATATTTAAGTTGAATTATAACAATCCTTAGACAACGAGATTCTAAACAAGTTCTACTTTAACAACATTGAGAAGCAGTCAGTTAGCTGTACTTTAAAGTACTAGTACATTTTCATGAAAATGATTTACAAGTTACTAATTTTGTTTCTCAGAGAAATTTCATTTTCAATGAAATTACAGTTGGATTATACAGATTGTGTTCATTTTCATTTGGATTATATATAACATGAGTTTGTACTGCTGGATAATCTTTCCCTAACATAGTTTCTGGTTTTGTTATTGATGAAATATTTTGCCATTGACCTTAATGATAGATTGTGATCTCTTTAAAATGTGTATTTTTTGTTTTGTTTTACAACTAAAAATTTGTTTGTGTGATAAAAAACATGGTTTATACCTGGGATATGATATTAAGGGACAAGCAACTGGATATGAGCATCTATTATCCTTTCCTCCATGGCAATCAGACGCAGTTACCACCATTGTCTTGTTGATCTTTTTTTTTTTTAATTGTCTGTAGAAATCAGTTTATGCTCCCTCAGCAGCTAATTTAATAGAAGTCACTACTGTTTTTATGCCTCCAGGCATATAGTAAGTGAACCGTCCATCCGTCTGTCCATCTGTCCGTACAAGGTTAACCTAGAACGGCAAGTTGGATTTTTCTTAAGTTCTACAAGTACCAATGGCTTCATAATTTACACACTTACTAATCCATACAAAGTATATGATCTGGGCAAGTTACATAACTATGGCTTCCATTTGCACCAAGTTATGGCCCTTTTCAGCTCTTAGAAAATGAATAATTGTTAACCTAAACCGGCAAGTTGGAAATATTTTATGTTCTATCTGAACTAATGGCTTAATAATTTTCACAATTACTTATCAATACAATGTACATGATATTGCCAAGTTATATAAATGTGCCATCCATTTTCCCAGTAATTTCCCTTCTTATCACTTTGAAAATAGGGCATTGTATGGTTAACCTATTCCGCCAAGTTTGATTTATCAAAAAATTTCACCTAATTGCTTAATTTATTTAATGATATCTTTCATATTTGGTAGGTGGATACCTTTAACGGTCCTCTAATTTTTTGTGGCGTTAGGCGTCTCTAGGTCAAGGTCACTTGTGTAAAAAATAAATCTAAACATTTCTGCTCATACAGCCTTTATTTTTAAGTTAATGTCTTTCATGTTTATAATAGTCATATCAAGGGAGGTCCTCTTCCTTTTCCTTTAGTAAGGGGTCATTTGGGTCAAGGTCACCAATGTTAAAAATAGATTTTTTACACTTTTACAGGTGTATTAACCTTATTCTATCGACAGATGTCTTGTATATTTTGTAGGAACATAAAATTGAGGTATTCTCATTTGGATGGAGGTAGGGGTCAGTTGGGTTAAGGTCACCAGTGCTAAAATAGATTTTTACACTTTTGCTCATACCTCTTTATTTATTGACATATTTGTATTATAATTGGTAGGAAGATAACTTACATGGTATTCTTCCTTTGGATGGAGTTAGGGGTCAGTTGGGTCAAGGTCAACAGTGCTAAAAATAGATTTTTTCACTTTTGCTCATACAGCCTTTATATATTGACAGATTTATTTCATATTTGGTAGGAAAATAAGTTGCATGATATTCTTCCTTTGGATGGAGTTAGGGGTCAGTTGGGTCAAGGTCTTCCATACAAATTAGCTACTTCACTCTCTAAAGTTAAATTATTGACAACAGTGACCGCGGGGGCATTTGTGTTTATCAAACACAGATTCTTGTTTCAAAGTGAATGGTAGTGAAACATTCCACTGATGCACTGGAGAGTATAAACAGTGTAAATACTAGAGAAATATAAGCTATCTGGAGTAAGATTGGAATAGACCTTTTTGTATTTAAATGGCCTAAATGTAATGTTATGATAATTTATTGATGTAAAATTTTATATTAATGGCATTTACGTATGATTTAAACTCTACACTCATTGTTGACCAAGCAGAAGCCATCATCTGTTTGTCTGGTAGTAGTTGCTTGTCCTTGTTTCTTTTTATATACTTGAATGGTTTTATATTTTGTCTTTATTTTTTAAAAAAAATTGTATATATTTCCTAATTCTCTATAATTTTTGTTTTTAAACATTGTTTTTGATATGTTTTAATATAATTTTTGTTGATTATTTAGCAAACTTTGCTATTGTCAGATATTAAAATCTCAGTTTAATTTTTTCTCTTGTTTTTTAGCTCACCTGTCACAAAGTGACAGGGTGAGCTTTTGTGATCGCTTTTCGTCCGGCGTCCGTCCGTCCATTGTCCGTCCGTAAACTTTTGCTTTAAATGACATCTCCTCATAAACCACTGAGCCAATTTCATCCAAACTTCACAGGAATGTTCCATTGGTGGTCACCTTTAAAAATTGTTCAAAGAATTTAATTCCATGCAGAACTCTAGTTGCCATGGTAACCGAAGGAAAAATCTTTAAATATCTTCTTTTAAACAACCCTAAGAGCTAGAGCTTAGATATTTGGCATGAAACGTCTTCTAGTGAGTGTCTACCAAGTTTGTTCAAATAAAAGCCCTGGGGTCAAAATTGGCCCCGCCCCAGGGGGTCATTGATTTTCCCTATATGCATATAGTAAAAACTTAAAAAATCTTTTTTAAAGAACCCAAAGAGCCAGAGCTAAGATATTTGGCATGAAACATCTTCTAGTGAGTGTCTACCAAGTTTGTTCAAATAAAAGCCCTGGGGTCAAAATTGGCCCCGCCCCGGGGGGTCATTGATTTTCCCTATATGAATATAGTAAAAACTTAAAAATTCTTCTTTTAAAGAACCGTAAGAGCTAGAGCTTAGATATTAAGCATGAAACATCTTCTAGTGAATGTCTACCAAGTTTGTTCAAATAAAAGCCCTGGGGTCAAAATTGGCCCCGCCCCAGGGGGTCATTGATTTTCCCTATATGCATATATAAAAACTTAAAAAATCTTCTTTTAAAGAACCCAAAGAGCTAGAGCTAAGATATATGGCGTGAAACATCTTCTAGTGAGTGTCTACCAAGTTTGTTCAAATTAAAGCCCTGTGGTCAAAATTGGCCCCACCCCGGGGGGTCATTGATTTTCCCTATATGCATATAGTAAAAACTTAAAAAATCTTCTTTTAAAGAACCATAAGAGCTAGAGCTTAGATATTTGGCATGAAACATCTTCTAGTGAATGTCTACCAAGTTTGTTCAAATAAAAGCCCTGGGGTCAAAATTGGCCCCGCCCCAGGGGGTCATTGATTTTCCCTATATGCATATAGTAAAAACTTAAAAAATCTTCTTTTAAAGAACCCAAAGAGCTAAGAAATTTGGCATGAAACATCTTCTAGTGAGTGTCTACCAAGTTTGTTCAAATAAAAGCCCTGGGGTCAAAATTGGCCCCGCCCTGGGGGGTCATTGATTTTCCCTATATGCATATAGTAAAAACTTAAAAAATCTTCTTTTAAAGAACCGTAAGAGCTAGAGCTTAGATATTAAGCATGAACCATCTTCTATTGAGTGTCTACCATGTTTCTTCAAATTAAAGCCCTGTGGTCAAAATTGGCCCCACCCCGGGGGGTCATTGATTTTCCCTATATGCATATAGTAAAAACTTAAAAAAATCTTCTTTTAAACAACCATAAGAACTAGAGCTTAGATATTTGGCATGAAACATCTTCTAGTGAATGTCTACCAAGTTTGTTCAAATAAAAGCCCTGGGGTCAAAATTGACCCTGCCCCAGGGGGTCATAGATTTTCTTTTATATGCATATAGTAAAAACTTAAAATATCTTCTTTTAAAGAACCCAAAGAGCTAGAGCTAAGATATTTAGCATGAAACATCTTCTAATGAGTGTCTACCAAGTTTGTTCAAATAAAAGCCCTGGGGTCAAAATTGGCCCCGCCCCAGGGGGTCATTGATTTTCCCTATATGCATATAGTAAAAACTTAAAAAATCTTCTTTTTAAAGAACTCAAAGAGCTAGAGCCTAAGATATTTAGCATGAAACATGTTCTAGTGAATGTCTACCAAGTTTGTTCAAATAAAAAGCCCTGGGGTCAAAATTGACCCCGCCCAGGGGGTCATAGATTTTCCCTTTATGCATATAGTAAAAACTTAAAATATCTTCTTTAAAAGAACCCAAAGAGCTAGAGCTAAGATATTTAGCATGAAACATCTTCTAATGAGTGTCTACCAAGTTTGTTCAAAAAAAGCCCTGGGGTCAAAAATTGGCCCCGCCCCAGGGGGTCATTGATTTTCCCTATATGCATATAGTAAAAACTTAAAAATCTTCTTTTAAAGAACCCAAAGAGCAAAGATATTTGGCATGAAACATCTTCTAGTGAGTGACTACCAAGTTTGTTCAAATAAAAGCCCTGGGGTCAAAATTGGCCCTGCCCCGGGGGGTCATTGATTTTCCCTATATGCATATAGTAAAAACTTAAAAAAATCTTCTTTTAAAGAACCGTAAGAAGCTAGAGCTAAGATATTTAGCATGAAACATCTTCTAATGAGTGTCTACCAAGTTGTTCAAATAAAAGCCCTTGGGGTCAAAATTGGCCCCGCCCCAGGGGTCATTGATTTTCCCTATATGCATATAGTAAAAACTTAAAAAATCTTCTTTTAAACAACTCAAAGAGCTAGAGCTAAGATATTTAGCATGAAACATGTTCTAATGGGTGTCTACCAAGTATGGTCAAACAAAAGCCTTGGGGTCAAAACTGGCCCCGCCCTTGGGGGGTGTCATTTATTTTCCTTATATGTGTATAGCAAAAACTTAAAAATCTTCTTTGAAAAAACCCAAATAGCTAGAGTTTAGATATTAAGCATGAAACATTTTTAAGTAAATATCTACAAAGTTTGTTCAAATAAAAGCCCGGGGGTCAAAACTGGCCCTGCCCCAGGGGTGTCATTGTTTTTAACTATATGTGTATAGTAAAAACTTTAAAAATCTTCTTTTAAAAAACCCAATGAGCTAGAACTTAGATGTTTAGCATGAAACATCTTCTTATGGGTGTCTACCAAGTCTGTTCAAATAAACAAATAAAAGCCCTTGGGTAAAAATTGGCCCGGGGGTGGGGTGGGGGGGGGCCTTTATACAGGTGAGCGACCTCAGGGCCATCATAGCCCTCTTGTTGTAAAATCCTATGGCATAAAAGCATATTTCACTATTACTTACAATAGAATTTATAAGGTGGATGGTTTACTGCAGTAAATGTTCAAAAACACATGACCTGCAGAAGACATCCAATTACTTTGTCGCCAAAAGTATGGGAATTCATTCACACCAGGTTAGTTTGTAAATAGCCACTGTAAAGTAGCAATCTTATCTCCTCGGGGTTAATATTGCTTGGCAAAATGACCTCTGACATAAAAAGGCAACATATCTGAACTATTTTTTTCATATGGTAAAATGGTGGTCTTCATGTGCCACCATTGTTGCAAAAGTGATCATAGAGATATGTTTCTTTTATACATTGGAAGAAAGGGTAACAGTGATACGAGTCAATTTCCCTTTGAAATCAGGCATAGGCAAATTTTGCAGAATTTGTACGAGTTACGTTACTTTCTCATCTACTGACACTGTGCCTTTTAACTCATGCAAATTGCGATGGTGTATTTAAGTTCTACAACTTTTAGGGAGGCCTCTTATCCAAAATATACGGGAAGAGCCAATTGGTCAAGTGGGTGGTTTTTACCACATGCCTTCTTTGGCTATAAAAAATGTACAGTGACACCTGGTATTATCCCACACACGTAATGCTGGATATTGTCAAATTAAGCTGTGTGGCTTAAAATTCAAGCACAGATTCTACTTATTAAGTTTTATAAAGATCCATCCAAAGTTTGTGAAAATGCAATGTTTTTAAATTAGCCAAGTTCTATAATTTTATGTGAATTCATACTCATTTACTTCTAACATCAAAACATTTTATCAAAAAGTCATCAAGGATTTTTAAGTGTATCCCATGTTCCCTGGAGGAAATATAACAAGCTTGATGTGGAATACTTGTGAAAGGAAACCGTCTGTGGTTGAGTGTTAAATGTCGTCGACTTCAAATCACTTGCCCCTCAGCGCTGTGGGTTCTAATCCTGCATGGGTCTTTGAATTTTTTCATGTGAGGTAGCTATCAAGCTAGTGTACGGAATGTCAATAGTTCTACTCCTTGTGCAAGACAAAAAAACAAAGGGGCAACAAAGCCTTCTCCCACCAGTAAAGCTTGAGAGTTGCAATATGATCATTAGTGTCATTGTGTCTTAAATCCTAAAAAAACAACAAATAAAGAATCAAATATGGTATGAAGTCAAGTTACAGATTCCACATGTACTAGTTTTTCAAAAATACTAGATGCGCAAGAGCAACATGTCAAGCTCGCTGACACATCTGACCTTGAACTTTGACCTAGTTGAACGGTTCTGGCGCTCAACATGCCTTCTCATGATGTTTAACATTTGTGCCTGGTTATTTGAAATTCCACTAGATAAGAGTTATGGTGAGGACAAGCTGTTTGGGATCATTTTTTGCATTTGACCTTAAAGTAAGACCTTGACCTTTGACCTAGCCACACAGTCCTTGTGCGCCACATGCCATCTCATGCTGACCTTTGACCAGTGTTATATGACCTTTTATGTCAAATCAGTGTTAAATACAAACATTTCACTAAAACTGTTGCAGATTATGATTATACACTCATAAACTTCCCTTATAGAAATTGACATGACAGTGGAATAGGGAGTAACTTTTGAAGTATGAAAAGATACATAAACTAGAAATGTGTCCATAGGACAAGGGTGCCCCCACACTCCACCAATTTGTCAATTTTATGTCTCTAGGTCATATATATTTTTTTTGGCTACATGTGCCCAAGTTGAAAACTAAAAATCTTGTATTACGTCAAGGCCAAATACTACAGATACTGAATAAATCCACAAGAAAACCCCAAGGTGCATAAGTACACATGCTGACCAACATTCTTGTAAAGTTTCAGGCCTACAGGTCAAATACTTTTTGTGTTACATGAGAAACAAGTTGAAAATTGAAAATACTAAAGATATCCACACGAAAATACCCAGGTGCACAACTACACATGCTGAGCAACATTCTTGTAAGGTTTCATGACTCTAGGTCAAATATTTTTTGAGTTATGTGCGACACAAGTTGAAAATTGCAAATTTTTTCTAATTCAAGGGCAATAACTCTAAAAATATTATTATTTCCACACAAAAATACCCAGGTGCAAAACTACACATGCTGATCAACTTTCCTGTAAGGTTTCATGACCCTAGGTCAAATACTTTTTGAGTTACATGCGACACAAGTTGAAAATTTGAAATTTTTACTAATTCAATGGCAATAACTCTAAAAATACTAAATATATCCACACAAAATACCCAGGTGCACAACTACACATGCTGAGCAAAATTCATGTAAGGTTTCATGACTCAAGGTCAAATATTTTTTGAGTTACGTGCTACACAAGTTGAAAATTGCAAATTTTTTCTAAGTCAAGGACAATAACTCCAAATATACTAAATATATCCACATGAAAATACCTAGGTGCACAACTTCACATGCTGATCAACATTCCTGTAAGGTTTCATGACTCTAGGTCAATTACTTTTTGAGCTACGTGCGACACAAAGAGAACTGACGGACAGACAGATGGACAAGGGTAAATCTAAATTGTGGGGTCACAAAAAGTGATTCCTTTATGCTATTGTAATTAATCATATTTGGCTAAACTTTCAAACTTTATTTGGCTAAAATGTTCTTGTTTAACATGGCCAATCTACAAGTACAAACAACAACATTACCAGTTCAGTATCATTTATTAGAAATAAATAGCATAAAGTAACAATTATTTTTCATATCAAGTCAAAGAAAAAAAAAAGAGCATACAAAATTCATAATTTCTACGTCATGAATTTTAAACACAATCTCTAACACTTCTCCAATAAATAAATACATTAAATATTGTCACTATGAAAAGGTAAGAAATGGTCCTAAACACCTAGTCCCTGTTTTTAAAAAATTCAAATTATTTTTCTCAAAAGCATAATGAACAGTGTGTTTATCTTTCCTCTGTAGAGACTGATAACAGTAAGCTGACAGTTTTAATAATAATTCTAAGCACGAGTAAATTAATTTTAGCCTTATAATTGAAGCAAAGACATTTGTACCTCGGACTTTATCAAAGGTGGATTGAAACATGGTCGGAACTTTTCTTTAAGTGCATTATGTTACACTTAACTATCGTGTTCAAAACCATAAAAATTACACAAAGGATTGAAAAAAAGTTGCAGATTTAAATAGACTTTCAGTGCAATAAATTCATTAAACATAAAGTACAATAACATTTAAATATACATGTACTTTGATATGCACATATTATATCAATGATATGTATTTATTATACATGAAATATATAAATATAATATGGACGGATTTAAACTTGGTCGAGCTATAAATAACCTAAATAAAATATAAAACAAAGATCAAAATAATAAAGTAGTTACAATGCACTTAAGAAACACACTATCTGACCCTTTATGGGATATGTGACAATTCAAATTATTTGAGCCCTGACAAAGTAAAAGGCACCATTAATTCAGAGACAGAATGATGTGAAAAATGAGTTATCCAGATAAAGCAAATTTATCAAAGTTTTATGCAATCAAACTCTACATCGTTATGGTAATGAGCCTGTATGTACAGTGATATTTTAATTTGTTCATCTTCTAAATATTTTTGTATACTAGCAGTGACAAAAATTTGCCTATGCCACAAATACTGAGCTAGACAAGCATACACATATATGCAGAGTGATGCAGAAACACAGGGGTCTGTACTCTCAGTGCCTGAAAGGACTGATGGACCTTCATTACGCCCAGTATACATTCACAATCAGTTCTGTTTCTGTTCAGTTTTTCATTTTACATATAGCAAACTCTTAAAAGTTAAAAAAGAACAAATCAAAGTTACCGTTTGGTAAATCCATTTCATAAATTCAGTAGGATTTGAGTTAAATACCACTGAAACACAAACCTTACTCAATGAACAAACAAAGTTAAGCAAGGTTACTCTTGCAATGATCCTTCATACACTTTACAGACATTTGGACTAGCATTTTTTAACACTACATTTGTACATAAAAAAATATCACAGCATTCAAATTTATAAGTTTTTTATGAACCATGCAGAGATTTTATAATAACACAAACAGCTTGAATATGTTACAAGTAAACAACCCATAATTATGGCAATTTAGCAATCAGGCCCATAAGGAAAATCATCTATGGCAAAATGTTTGCTTTATATATTAAAGCTGCAGATAAGCCAAAATATTTTTTCATTTATAGGAAAAATCAAACTTGATAAAAAAAGTTATTAGATTTTAAGGAAAGTAAAATGATTCAAGATAAAAGTAATAATTTCCATGTTATGTGCGTTTTATGACCAATTTTGCAGTATTTTTCACCATGTAATGCAGTAAGGGCTATTTTTGCATATTTTGACCTCATTTAGTAATTTCCATGGGTTCTATGGGGTAAATTTGTTCATTTCACAATATTTTAAGTTCAAAATTTTCATGAAAACTAGCATGAATCTGAGAAGATCAACCATGGAATAGCATTTGATATCTGTTTGAATATAAGTAAAATGTAAAGAACCTCAGTCATATCACTACGCAGTAGTACATTTATCTCTAGTACATGTATATACATAACAATTAAGATATCACAGTATCTATTTATAGTAACATTTACAATGGAATGTTTTCAAAATATTTTTTTACAATTCACATTCTTTTGAGCTGAAAATACTTCAGTCACTTTATTAAATCACTTTTAGACTCTGTAAGAACTATAAACTGATTTAAGATGTTATTTTTCTACTAATATACTGAATGAATTACTCTAAAATAGAAAGAAGTTTGTGACTTGGCCTCTATTTATAATAACATAATTTCTTAGGGAAAATTTGTAGCTTATTTCTTATAATAAACAAATAAAGTATCTTTCAGCAGTTGCAGTTCAAAATGTATCTCTGAAATGGACATTTATGTACATATGTATATGTACATTTTCTAAAAGTCTGTTTTTCTCCATCCAAACACTACCACTCATTTAAATATAACTTTTGTAACCTTAACATAATGTCTGATTCTAAAACATTTATGAAAATTCCTTGAAAAAGAGAGCATGGAATGTTAACTGATGACAGAGTGACAGATTAAAACAAGAGGACCATGATGGCCCTGAAGTCGCTCACCTGTATATAGGCCCCCGGAGCGGGGCCAGTTTTAACCCCAGGGCTTTTGTTTGAACAAACTTGGTAGACACCCATTAGAAGATGTTTCATGCTAAACATCTAAGGTCTAGCTCGTTGGGTTTTTTTAAAAGAAGTTTTTTTAAGTTGTTTTTTTTTGCACATATATTTACAAACAATGACACCCCTGGGGCAGGGCCAGTTTTGACCCCAGTGCTTTTATTTGAACACTCTTTGTAGACACTTACTAGAAGATGTTTCATGCTTAAAATCTAAACACTAGCTATTCGGGTTTTTTCGAAGAAGATTTTTAAGTTTTTGCTATACACATATAAGGAAAATCAATATCCCCCCGGGGCGGGGCCAATTTTAACCCCAGGGCTGTTATTTGAACAAACTCGGTAGACATACATTAGAACATGTTTCATGCTAAATATCTTAGCTCTAGTTCTTTGGGTTCTTTAAAAGAAGACTCTTTAAGTTTTTACTATATTCATATAGGGAAAATCAATGACCCCCTGGGCTGGGGCCAATTTTGACCCCAGGGCTCTTATTTGTACAAACTTGGTAGACATTCATTAGAACATGTTTCATGCTAAATATCTTAGCTCTAGCTCTTTGGGTTCTTTAAAAGAAGATTTTTAAGTTTTTACTATATGCATATAGGAAAAATCAGTGACCCCTCGTGCGGGGCCAATTTTGACCCCAGGGCTTTTATTTGAACAAACTTGGTAGACACCTATTAGAAGATGTTTCATGCTAAATATCTTAGCTCTAGCTCTTTGGGTTCTTTAAAAAAAGATTTTTTAAGTTTTTACTATATGCATATAGGGAAAATCAATGACCCCCTGGGGCGGGGCCAATTTTGACCCCAGGGCTTTTATTTGAACAAACTTGGTAGATACTCACTAGAAGATGTTTCATGCCAAATATCTAAGCTCTAGCTCTTTGGGTTTTTTAGAAGAAGATATTTAAAGTTTTTTCTTTTGGTTGCCATGGCAACCAGAGTTCTGCATGGAATTAAATTAAATTAAATTGAACAATTTTCAAAGGTGACCACCAAAGGAATATTCTTGTGAAGTTTGGATGAAATTGGCTCAGTGGTCTATGAGGAGATGTCATTTAAAGTAAAAGTTTACGGACGACGGACAGACGGACGACGGACGGACGGACGAAAAGTGATCACAAAAGCTCACCCTGTCAGTGACAGGTGAGCTAAAAAAGCAACAACTGAGATTATAGAATTGCCTCCCTTTTTTAGTATAACTGCCTTTTTTTCATAATCATTTTTAAATAAAATGAAAACATTATTATTAACACAGGGGCAGTATCTGAAAATGCAACATTCTACTGTTCACTGAACTTGTACTTCCAGAACTGGAGATTTATGGAGAGATTTGTTTGTGAGAATTTGCTTGTAAAATAAAATTATTTGTTGATGATTTTACAACTATCAGAATCTTTGCAGGTAACTGCCAAGATAGTCAGTCTCTAGTTGTTCCGGAACGCTTAGTGACTTTGTAATAGTGTGAACCTCCATTTTACCATCCCCAAAACTAAACAGCTGAAAAGATAATAAAAGTATATGTTTTTTTTATTATAAATAACTTTAAGGTGTAGACTTATTTGTATAGCATGTTCAAAAATGTGGCTGCCACATCAAGATATGAAATTCATTGAACAAAGAAAACATACAATAGTGATGAAGTGACTTTTATTTAAAATTAGCTCCCTTTAAAAATTCCATTTAAGACATTGCTTATAAAGTTTTTACTCTACACTGTGTCTTGTATAATTTCTGTGATTTCTGTGATTTCTTAAAATCAGTCACTCTAAACTACAAGCAAAAACAAAACTTACCATTTGTGCATCTTTACAAGTGGTTCCTAGACCATCTGGTCTCTGGACTGTGGTCAGAGAAAAACTTGTTATCCTGAAAATCAATTGTTTTTGAATAAAATAAATCCCTGTAGTGTTTTCATTACATCAGACCAATGTCAGATAAATTCACTTACATTACATGAATACCCCTATAGAAGATATTTAATCAGTTTTAAGGAGAAGAGTATTGTTTGCTTATCAAACAAGAGATTTCTGTTTCAAGCCTATACTGGGGCGACAACCACTTTGCATTGTACACGACCAGTACTAGTCCATGGAAAGATATATAAAGATTGTACATCAACACTTTTCTTGAAAATTTGAAATAAAGCTTTTTGATCTGATTGGATACAACAAGAAAGAGGAAATGTAGCAAAATGGCCTAGTAACAATGGTCTGTCTAGGGACTGTTGGTTTTAACCTTGTTTTTGCTTACATGCCACCACCAATGACGGTCAGAATCCAAGGGGGTTCATATGAGCAAGTTTTATCCATAATCAAGTTTAAATAAGTAATAAATTACAAACCTTTCTTTAGAAATTGTTTCAATATATTTTGGTTGAACATCTCCCTCTAGAAGATCAAACACGTATAGTGTAGATGTAACGTCTAGCACATAAAACACACAGGCTCTGCTGCGAGACCATCTTACACACTGTACTGCTTTTCCTTTAGTTATTGAAGGCCAGGTTATCAAAGGATTCTCTGTAAAATGAGAATTGTCATAATGATACAAGTCATATAAGTAACAAAAACGGATCGAGTGACTCAATTTTGAGTAATTTGTAACATTGTTAAATTTTGCCAACACAGAGAAGATTACTCATGTTTTGTGTCTTTGTGTTATAATAACAAAAACAAGACAACTTTTTAAAGACATATATAAATGTAACTGTAACCAATTCTATTAAAAATGAATAACATATTACTAAGGATTTGTTATCAAAGTACATCTGTAGAAACAGAAACCCTGGAGCAGAAGACCACCTCTACATAGAAACCACCTCTACACATAAAGACTAAATTCTTGAAACATTTTCTTAAAATACCAATAATTCAAAGTTAAAAAGTAACTTGTATCCAAAGGTAATACTTTTAATGACATCATTATTGTTTCTTTTTCAACAGTGAATTTTAATACACAGATGAGATTGCAAATGTACAATAGAAATATGAAATATATACCTGATTTTGTGTCATAAATTGAAAATGATCCATCTGAACAACCAGTCTGTAATACAATCAAAGTCATAGGGATAAACTCTAAATCTAAACCAATTTTGTTACACTTTTCAACATATGATTGTATAATTACTTCAAATACAATGTAATAATACTGAAAAAACAACAACAAAAAAACAAAAGACTAGAAATGTGCATAGAAAAAACGAATACCCCCAAATTCCATTGTTTTCTCAGTGTACGGACGGACAGAGTTACAGACACACAGGGGCAAATCTTTATTGCCCCCGCTAAGTTTGAAGTACAGGAGGCATAAACATAATCTCAAGAGCATGAATTTATACCATGCTCAGAAATAAAAGTGAAAGACCAATTTGGTTTGAAAATGCATACACTAACATGTATAAAAAGACATATTAATTCAATGCATCTTTTTATACATGTAAGTATATGCATTTTCAAACCAAATTGGTTTTTAACTTACCAATTCGTAGATGTGAGATGACAATCATATTCTTCTTAATTTTTAAACTGATGATATATGATACATTTATACAAAATATAAGTGCTAGAAACTTTAGTATTCAATACTTGTATCGAAGAAACATTCATTGTGGGTTTTTTTTTAAATATACTTACGAGAAAACAAGGTTGATCAAAAGGTGAAAAATCAATAGAAACAACATCAACAATGGTATCTGAAACAAACAAAGAAACAATGTTTACTTTCAGGTACATGTCAAATAATCAACATGTAAATTTTAAATCTACTTCCTTGTTTTCACACTTGTTTTATCAAAGTCCAAATCATACCCTTGTTTCAAATTCATTAACTTTATATTATGCTTAAACAGATCAAACAATTTTAATGGGTTCTTACTTACATTCTTATCTAAATTATTAACATTGTCATTTGTATTGATAATTTATACAACTTAGCTCAAACCTCATCCGCCATACTTTTAACATTACAAACCTGTTTATCCTCTGATTCTTAAAAATCTGCCCACAATGAATTAATATATGATTCATAAGTCTATGTTAAAATTTACTAAAAACATCAAATACACAAAAAAATGTTAAATGAATCCACAACTATCATTTGATGGATAATATGTTAAGAGTATATGTAAACATGTACCAGGCAAAATTTCTTAAATGAACTAGTCTAGCTTCTATTTATGGAACAGTCTACCATCAAATCTAGGGATATCAAGATGATAATTTAAAGTTAGTCAGCCAACAGTAAAGAGCCTGGTCAGACTGCATGGATGTGCAGACTAGCTTGGCTCTTTACTGGTGGCAAAGGCAAATCACTTTCAACTCCAGCAGTATAAAGGGATAAAGCATACCTATCACAGGTGAATGAGCACGAGGAAACGTTCTTTTTCCAAAACGAATTCCATGTAAAATGCTTCCCTGAAAACATAAAGTTTACAGATTAAAATATTAACAAATCCAGAGTATTAAATGAATTTAACAATTATATTATTCTTTATAGAATTAGTCTTTATAGAATTTCCTTGATATCATATAAAATAAATTATTTCAGCTAGTTTCACATAACAGGGATGGCCATGCTAAAACACTAAATCTGGTATTGTCACATATATATATAAATAGTATTTTATCAAGCACATTTGATGTTGTTTTTCAATTCTCTATGCATGTACTTTTAATAGAATAAGACACTTCCAATGAACACCCTAGGACCTTGCTTACACAATATACAGTCATTTCATATTTCTATACATGTTCTTGATTCGCGACAACGACTAATACACGCATTAAAACTTATCCTTTGAACATCCTCAAGTGATATCATACACTAATCATTTTTGGGACATGTTAAGCATGTGAATGAAATTACAAAGTAGAATTTACAACATTTAACTTACAGAGTCAGTAGCCACATAAAAGTGATTTGGATCATTCGGCATCAGTGACATATCTAATGCTCTCAGTCCAGACTGTAACCTGGCATCTCTAAAATAACAAAACAACATTATGAGAAAAATGTGCACCTAGACTGGGAATCAATCCCAAGAAAAACATATTCTTGCAAATCAGACTGGTGTTTCCGTTAGTTTTACCCATGCCAGAAATTTCATCTGGGGAGTGCCAGATGAGTAGTATGCAATACAATGGCATGCTTAGGATGCCGTTATTTTGCCGTTATGAATAAAGTTGTAATTTCATACGCTATTTTAAGAAAATAGTTATGGGTGTAAATGACATAAACTTCCATGGAAAATTGTTTTATTAAGGTAAAGAATTTAAAATATGATGGAATATGATAGAATATACATGAAAAAATATCTGTCATATGTCTGGGGTTCAGATCTAAACCTCAACATATGACAGATATTATTAGTTCACATAATCCTTCTCTTTTTCCTCAAATTGAGCTTCACATGGCTTTTCTACCTAGTTTATGCTAATTTAATATCCAAAATATACATTCACAACAGTTCAACAGCTACAAAAAGATTAAGCATGAACATATGTAGCAAAAAGGTTGACCTTAGAATCTCAAAGTTTTAGAAACATATCTTTTTAAAGAGCTTTTGCTTGTTTTAAACTGGAACTTAATATGCACACTGTCAAAATTGATGAACACACAAGTGACATATATCTGCCAATTCAGAAAAGATACTACATATGTTTATGAAATGAAAAATTGAAAACATCATAACAACTAAATTTCCTACAATGTTATTATTACTAATTTAATGAATGATTTTATACTTATTAAATTTATTGTAACAATATAATTTCATATTTGAGCCGCATCACGACAAAACCAACATAATGGGTTTGCGACCAGCATGGACCAGCCTGTGCATCCGCGCAGTCTGATCAGGATCCATGCTGTTCGCTTTCAGTTTCTCTACTTGTAAAAGAGTTGGTTAGAGAACAGCAAGGATCCTGATCAGACTGCGCAGATGTGCAGGCTGGTCTGGATCCATGCTGGTCGCAAACGCACTATGTTGGTTTTGTCGTGACGCGGCTCATTTATTTCAATTCTGACCAATTTCATAAAAATGACAAACATACTTTACAAAATGATGAACAGAAAGACAAAAGTAGAATTTGACACATAATTGATAATCAGGTTATGCAAAGAAACTAAAAGTCCTTCTTTCAAGGCATAAAAGCAAAATGAATGCTGTGCTTTGGAAAAATAGCACCAAAAACACCAAAAGTTACACTTAATACACTCAACTTTGACAATCCAATAAAGGGCCAATTACTCTTATAGATAAAAAAGGGCAAATAACTCTTACCAAAACACTCAAAGGATTGTTTGATTGTATTTTAGTATATTTTTATATCAAATATACAGTCAAATGCATCTGTTGAAGGACTTCAACAAATATATTTGTACTGAAGTTAAATGTCTACTGACTGATGGGCTGTCTGCTAATATGTCAGTGGACTGCATACCTTAAGTCAGTTTGTTCAAGATTTTAGTTTGTGTTAGAAACTACAAGCATGAATCATTTCATTGAAGCAACCAATTCTGAGCAATGCAAGTAGTTTCTTGCTCAAGGAAACAATGGCTTGTACAATGGCTTGCCTCTGATAGGGTTTCAGCCCATTATCAATCCAGCAATCCTTAGATTAATGGTCTTATGTGTTAAGCACTCAGCCATTCCTACATTTCTACTTTATACCATAATGTTAATGAGAAGATTGCATAAACTATGTTAGCAAAAATTTGAAAAGGTATAAATTATTATTGTTAAGACTAAAAAACCTTAATAAAGTATTGTAGTGCTATAACCAAAAATATAGATGGTTTAAGGTGCTATATTTTATATACCATTATTCCACAGTGCTCATGTTCTATACATTTATAAGCTTTTAGTAAAGAAATAATAAATTACTAGTACAACCATACTTACTTTCCCTCTGTTAAACTATGATTGGTATTAAATAAATTTAAGTAAAATGATCACAGCTGCTTAAGGATAGCTAATGTATTTTTTTTCAAGCTCTGAAAATTCAGAGGAATATCTAAAAGACTTGGTACTGATCATTTCTGTAATGTTTGTAAAAATTGCACCAGCAGTTTTTGAGGAGAAGTCAGGTGACACAAAAATACCAACATTCAAAGTTTGATATATACAGACAAAAATTTGCTAATCAGTTCAGATAAAATGTATTTTCTTTACATGAAATGGAACTTAAATAATAAAGAAAATGTTCAATAACTGCTGTGAAAACTACTCCAGTTACTAGAACATTGCATAAACTATTTGGACAGAACAGAACTTTACATATTTATATATTATTTTGGATTCTGTGAAAAATGTTGCAAGTGACTTACTTGGTTGGGCTACTCATAGTCAATGAAGAACTTTTGAGCAATTTTACCCCAGCCCCTGGTGCGAGCCCCAAATCACTTTCTGAACCAGCTATGTCAGGCAAGCCTATCTCTGCCACAACCTGTTGAACAAACAAATTTTATATTACATATTTTTAAGATTTATTTACTGGTCTGTTTCTCTTTGAAGTGGAGAAACTACAAAGTGAAAATTCAGTATCAAGTTTTAAAATGAACCAAAATAGCTTAACCTCTGATGAACAAACCACCTTAACACCTTATATTTGATATTAAAATCCCTCCCCTTTCCAGTACATGTAACAGGATGTAAACAATGACAATATATTGTTTTTATTTCTTAATTAACTACACTTAACTGATCAAATTAAACAAGGAAAAAGGTGGGAAAATCATTGACAAAACACATAAATACTCACCCAAAAATGTAAAACAGCACTTTCTTCTGTAGACACCAGTTGGAATGACAGTCCGGAAGAGGTATCTGAAAGAAGAATTCTTTTTAAAACTTTTTTCCTTGATGGCATTCTCATCAACTATCTTTTAAACTATTACTTAGCTTACTGTTTATGTACATTTAACTTGGTTTGTTATGTTTGTTTGTTTTTTAAAACCCAAACCAAAACAAAAAGTAAAGGGGTTTTAAAAGGCCCCAAAATCGGGAAAGAGATTTTGGAAACCCCTCGGGTATTACAAAAAACCTTTTAAACTTTTAAACCTGCTTGAAAAAAAACGGGTTTGGCCTTTGGCAAAAATTGACAAAAGTCAATCTCCCATTTTCCATTAGTCTGCCCAAAGCTCTTCACTGGGGGTTAATCAACAAAATATATTTTAAAAACAGAAACCCCTTGAAAATTTTTAAAATAAATTTTTAAAAAATTTAAAAAAGCGTGGTAAATTAAAATCAGACAAAAAACTCGGGCTATAAAAAGTTTGTTTGCCTCAAAAACCCATATACTGTACCCAAAACAATTTCAAAAAAATTTTTCAATCATGTACGAAACCCAAAATTTCATGGTGCTCCCACCCATTTTTGGTTTTAGATGATTTGCCAAAAAACACTACAGTCTTATGTTTTAAATTTTGTTTTTCATAACATAAACCCAAATTTTTGAATTCATAAAAAAAATTTCTTACCTTCTACTTTGGGACTGGGGGGGTACCCTGTCTTTAAACCTGGTTTTAAAGTAAGTAAACCCTTATTTTTTAATTCAAAACGACAAAAATTTATCCCATTTAAATTTAAATATTTTGTTTAAAACAAAAAATTTTAACTAGGACAGTTAACTTAACTTAAAAGTAAAGAAAAATTTAAAAATTTTAAAACAAAGTTCAAAAAGGGGAAATAATGAGAAAATCCCATGTAGTCCATGCTAGATTTTACGATCTTGAAAAAATTTTTTACAATAAACACACCCAAAGAAAATGCTTTGAATTTTTCAAATTAAAACCGTCATTTAAATTTGTGTAAAATTTAAAAATTAAAACAAGGGTTTTCAGGGGCCAAACTTAAATGAACACCTAGGTGAGATGATAGCATAATTGTTCTTTGAATAGTATAGTCAAACTAAAATTCTGTTCCAAGAAATGAAAGCAAATTCTTGTTAAAGTTTCCAGTCAGAGATATGATTTAGATGAAGTTAGAATATGATTTATCATAAATTAAAGAATGCATACATAAGTAATTATGAGCTCTAAATATACAATTCTTCAACTTACTTTGACAAAATTTTGTTTCATCATTTTTTTTATCAAGATACCCTTTTAAATCGGACAAATGCTTGGTTCAGAAGCTGTCTGGTTTAGAGGGGTTTTACTGTTGTTTAACATGAAGTATATAATCATTAATAGATAAAGATAATTTTCAAAGCATAATAGCATGAGGAGCCAGATCGAATGAAATTCTTTGATGAAAAATGTACTCACGTATTTATATAAGAATATATTGGAAGAATCGAGGTAACTGGACTATGGTGATTCTCTTCTTTCAAAACACAAGCTGTAATACAAATACATGTATATAAATACATTATCTGAATGAACAGTTCTTTTTCAATTATATAACAGAAAATTCAAGGTATATTATAAACAAATAGCTTCTTTATTCTTTTATATTGACTTTCACAACAATAAAGGGATGCTGTTTTTATGAGGTTTTGGCTGTAAATCAACATTGCAGATGTGTACAAAATAAATGTTTATTCAAATACATACACCCCAGTTCAAAAGCTCTTAATGAATAAACAAAATTCTGGTGAAATTTCCTTATTATTTAATAAGTGACCTTAAAAGTGAAGGTTGCGACTAAAGTTGAAGACATTTACATGAAGACAGCCAAAAAACCCATTAATCTACAAGTATTAATTTGTTTTTGTTTTAAATTTAAGGCACATCCACTTGAAACTTAAAAGTCCATAAGGCAACTTTTCAGCTTTAGTGGTGGAGGAAGACCACAGTAGCTCCTTTTATACATTATTTCATGCATAAACAGGCACCTGTGTAGAACCACCAACCTTACGTTAGCTAACCAGAGCTTTCTCCCATGAAAGAATCGAAAGTCCCTAAAGGGATTTGAACCCAAAGCGCTGAGAAGCAAGTGATTTGAGGCTGGCAACCTTAATTTCTTGCCCAAGAAGGCCATTATGTCAATCTATCAATACCGAGTCATAGGATGTACAATTACCTGTATCATATGTAGGGTATCTGAGATGAATATGACTCATCGTTTAAAAAACTGTTTGGTTGATGTATAGGACAGACTTGGTTTCCCTTAGATCCCACCATAGCAATGGAACCGTTCCACCTTCCTGCAAAACACCAAGTGATGGTTTGACGGGACTAAAACAAAACACCTTACGGGGGCTGATACTAACTACATACAAGAAACCCTTGAAAAATATTCTATGATAAATTTGCACTAAACTTATTGCAATTAATGCTTTAAAAACATTCTACTTTCTATACAGAAATTTACCCTGTTCTATACTAATTTTAAGCTGATACTGAGCATGCAAGTTGTTCCTGTTACAAAAATCTAGTTACATAAAAAACCTCAGTCACATCCCAAAGAACATTTTAAACATTCATTTACCACTCCCATTGATACTATAGGTTAAAAAAAGGAAAAAAATTATAATTAAGGATTTCTGATGACATGTGTGGTTAGAATAACATCTACAAATTTTATGGAAAGCCATAAAGATTGTAGTAAACTTCAATAAAAATACAAGGCCTAAATTGTGTATCACATGTTCTCTTAAAATTATGCTCTCCGAACAACAATAAGAAATACTATTAACATTTAAAATATCATATTACAAAAACCAAAAATGACCAATCGATTGATTATTTACATTACTCAAGCCTCAATATATATCGTAATGTTTTCCCCCCTATTTTTCCAACATAAAAAACTTTGGGAAATTTGCATAAAATCAAAAATGAAAAAATGATTTTACACCTCCCTTTTGTGGAAAACTAGGTTCATTGGTTTTCCCCAAAACACAAATTACACCCTCCTTTGGCCCTTGATTTTTTTAAAGATATCGGGTTTATACAGAAAAGTTAACAAAATAATAAAATATAAGCCGGGAACGGCTTTATAGTAAAACACAGGGAAAATATATCAAAAAATTTGCACTCACACTGGTGAAAAAAAAGGGTATATCAATCTTTGGGTCAAGGAGAACTAAACATGAAGTTGTAAAATGTACAATGTATTTTTGAAAGTTTGAAAATTAACAATTACAGTTTGATTTAAATTTGTTTTTTTTTAAAAATTTTAATTTTCCCAGTAAAAAATTGACAGTCAATGTCACATGGCTACTTTTGAGCTTTACTGGGAGAAGAAATTAGTCCCCTCATTTGCTCCTTCAGATAATTTATCAAATCAAAAGTTAGAACATCAAACCTCCCATCAAGACTAGCTGGATAGTCTTCAACACATGAAAGAATTTCTAAGTCAAAATTCAAACCCATAATGTGAATTGAAGAAATGAATTCTAAATTTATTGACCTTTTTTTACTCTTTGAGAACTCATACGAAACTCAGTCATGCCAAGACTGTGATAGACCCCCACATTAACAAATAACCTAAATTACAACCATACCTTCACATGTATTCTGTAACTTTTAAAAACCTTACCTGAGATGGTGGACTTTGATATATACTGTTAAAGTAATAAGTTTGGTTGTACAGGTGAGAAATGCGAAAACAATATCACACATGACGATCTGAAACAAATAAAAAAATTCTGATGTAGTAATATACTTCTGGACCTGCCCATGATGTTTTCAAAAAAAAGCTGCATTTTTTCTTAAAGGTATTTTAAGCTCACTTAAGCACAGCATCAATGTTTGGTGTGGATTCCTTTAGTACGTTCATCGATTCAATATCTAACCATTGTATAAGTTTGAATATTTTTAGGCTTTCTTGCTAATTGGTTTACAAAAGTCTATATAAATCAAAATTCTGATGAACAGTTAAAGATCATGACATATCTTATTCTTCATATATAAGATATTATACATTTACTTGTACTTCAACCTGTCTGGCTAACCAGCTCTGTTGAAAGTAAAGCTATTACAATAGACTAACAAAAATCATGTAAAATTTATCATGAAAATTGAAGTATATATTTCATTTTGCCAGCAAAGCTTACATGTACATAACAGCCAAATTTTCTAAGAAATTTTGCAGTCAAGTTAAAAATGACAAACATGATTTTGATAGCAGAAAAATCACTGAGCATATATCAATTACCAGTACATGTACACTGTTTAAAATATCATATTCTGTCAACTATTTTGTTTATAAGCCCCCCATGAAGTATATATTGTTGTTTATACCATGGACATCTAAGATAAATTTTAATAATAGCAATTTGTTTCAACCTACCTTGAAGTATAGGCTGTACATCAAGTTGTGTGTATCCCTCACTAACATTAATATGTGTCTGACTCTGACCCTTAGACTCCATTTCATCTTCCCTTCCCTCTTCCAATAGTAAAGCTATCACCTGAATATGAAACATAACATTACATTGTCATTATGATACACATATTAATTTTTTGCTTCTAGCCTAGGTTGAAAAAGTTAAGTCTGTCCACACTATATAATGTTGACATCTTACCATGTAATTTTAATATTTTGACGTACAAATCTTCAAATTTACAATATGACAGTTTCAAATTCAATACAGGACCCAGGGTTTTCATTATTAACAGATTGGACATCCATATCAGCTGTTGAAATGCTGTTATAATTGGTAGTATTTTCAGCCTGTATATTAAAATATCCCCTTTGACCCTTGGCCAAATCGGTTGTTTTCATGGCACATCTGTTGCCTCAGATAAGAAAAAGAAAACCCTGACCTGGACCAAGTACTTAACACAAATTCAGAAACAGATCAAGTCAGTAATATTATACAAAACCCTCCCACTGTAACATTACACATGTTTAATTGGTGATGACTTATTTCCCTATCCTACCCATATTTAGGCCAGCCTGCAAAATCCATACATTTAGACTGGGCTCTATACTAGTGGTTGCCAAATTTTATCAATTCAATAATAAAATGATCAAAATACCTTTCAATAGTAATGGACACTTTAAAATTCAAAGCAGGGCATATCCATTATACAAATTCAGCACAGTAGATCTATTGGTTTACTTTTATACTTTTTACTACTGCTTAACTTTATTAAGCCCACCATAAAGTTTATACATTATTTATTTTAGATCCACTATGTTGGAAGCTTATATAACAAGCTTATTGAAACACTCTCAAATACGTTCCTGCTTAGCAATGAGTGTAAAGTTTCTTGCTGCCAATGGGATTTGAACCCATGCAGCAAGCAATCCTTACATCACTAGTCCAACATGTTAACCACTTGTCCATGCTGCCGACATATCCAAAAACAATATTTCTCTGCCAGATGCACATATTCACTAAAATCTGTCTCTGGACTGACCAGTACTAACAATGTTCTAATAAATACACACCTGCCCTGCTTTCTCCAGGAATTTATTCAGCCTGCCCATATCTTGTTCCCTGTTAACTTTACTCTGAGATTCTTCTTCATCCTCTATATCTTTCTCTCCATCACCCCCTAGCAACAAGTTATTTTATACATTGTATTTTACAAAATGAACATTACTAAACAGGTACTTTGTACATTGTTCTTTACAAAATGAGCATTTCATAAGCCCCTAGACTACAGATCAAGCAAATGTCAATTTTTTTTGTAAAGACATTTCTCAAAATCTTTAAATTTATTTATATCATGGACATAAAAATACTTTAAAAGAAGATTACAGCAAAAACAAAAATAATGTTCATTGTAGCAGTTAAACAAGGAAAGTACAGAACCAGTCAAAGTTTCATAAAGGGACACAATGGCCTAGTGGTTAAGATGTGTGCCTCTCAACCCAGGGATTCTGGGTTCAAGCCCTACTTAGATAACAACTTTCTTGACTGAAATTGAAAATGGTTGTTTCCAAGAAGAGTGGTTAAAATAAGCTTCAAACTTTCTTAAAAAATTCAGCTTGAAAAACATTTAAACTAAGATTACACGAAAAAACAAGGACCCCTAATACTGTTTTATTTTTTCTTAAAATTTGATTATGACAGTGATTAGAAAACTTGAACATTTTTCTATTCATACTTCCATATCCTTTAAAGTCTTCTGGAGGATGCTGTGTCCATTTCTGTCTACAATCTACCTCCTCTGTTTGAATATCTTTATCAACATTATCATCATTTGTTTGTACATATGCCTGTAAATAGAAAATATAGAATTAGTTTAGTTGATACTAAATTATTTTAGTTAGATTGTGTTGGAATGTATCAGATTATTGAAACACACTTGAATCCGTTCCTAGGACCAACCAGTATTAAGCAATGAGTGTAAAGTTTCTTGATCATGGATACAACAGCTTACTAGTACAAGGCATTAATCACTCGGCCACGCTGCAACCCAAATATAGAATTTAGAAAGAGGTCATTGCTTTCTGAAAACTAATCACATCAAGGAAAAAAGTTTCCCTTTCTCTATACAACCACAACAAGTTTGGTGCTAAATGAAAGGTATTTGATGCTATTATGTCATTGCAATATCATGGGAGGGTCTTATGACATCATCAATAACATTATAAGTGTCCTGATATTGGCTCTATTATAACACAGAGAAAGTGGCCAAAGAATTTTCATGTGAAGATTTTTGAAAAGTTCATAAAGCAAGTACCACCTGATGATGATAAAGAACCACAAATTCTTATTGTATGAAAAATTTTTTTTAATAAAAATATGTGATATTGAAGATAAATATTGCCTGTTTTTCATTGAAGCTGATCTTTAACTTTCATATTTTCTAATTTTATGTGAATTGTTACCATACCTGTCTAGTATCTGAACTTCCGAACGCCCTGATGTAGAGATCATATTCATTCACTGGCGGCATGTCCATGATGTCAAAACTAGCAAAATCAAGCTCCAACATTTTCAACAAGTCATGTCCACGCTGCATCGTCTTGCTGGCTGTCTTGCGGCTGACTGCTCGCTGTTTTGCCGATACAAAATTAATAGCGGTACGAGGGCGATCCATGCGAGGTTGGTAGGATTTTTGGTAGCCTTCGTCACTGTCATCACCTTGGTCCGAGTCTTGCTGATCCCTTGATCTACCATACTGTTTTAAGTAAAAATAAAGGTAAATCACAATTCCCCCGCCATACCTTTCTATACAATAATAAAAAATTACTTACCATATCATTCTGCAATACAGTCTATATCCAACGGTTCATAAACACACTTGTGTATGATTAAATAAATACAATCATGTTTCTGTCCTTGAATGTACGAGTGCTTTAATAATAAAATTTTCTAGCATTTGAAATGCTGTTCTGAGTGATAAACTTAAGCACATGTACAAATGGCACATTCTGACATCTATATAAGGATAATGTCTTACACAAGGGCCTAAAGGACAAAATGATAAAGTAAAAGCTGATCATGGAAGTATTGTGTTCATTTAACTTTGAACTTCATCTGAACTTACTTTAGCAGACACCTGGGGACTTCTTGATGAACTGTTCAATAATCTGTCATTCTCAGCATCCAATGCACGTAAAACATCGTTCATTTCTGAATCCTGAAGGGAGAAAAATTAAATCTGTATTACATAATATGACTTCAAAGGATTCCACCATGGTTTTTTGATATAATGTATAATGGAACTGGCAATAATCTCCCAAGATTAATGTTCCACTTGATGTAGTTCTAGACTTAACATTTATGTCTCACTTCATGTACCTATATAAAAACTGTCATTTCATAGAATCATAATCTTGCTGATGTAAAAGTTATTAGCCCTTGACACTAGTGTAGAGCTTGACAAGCCTGCTCACCCGTAGCATGCGCAGACTCTATACTGTTCGATGACAAACTCCAAATTTTCATTTTGATATCCCTGTAATGTGATAATGGACTGGGCTTAAGATACCAGTCTATGCACATCTTTGTGACAATTGGCCATTAAGTGTAGTTATTCTGCACTATAAATATTCAAAATGGAAAGTGAAATTGTGGTCTTAATGGCTTAAAGGAAAGGTCTTAGAACCACTAATGTTCCACATAATCTAGCTGGATAGCTTTTACACATAAAGATCCAAAGACACTGGTGCAGCTCAAACCTACAACAGTGAAAGGCAAGTGGTTTGATGTCAAGGATCTTAACTCAGCCACAGGCATCCCCAGGAATGATTTCTGTTGGTTTTATATTTGAAACTGGATTGTGGTTTGCAATTTACATAATCCTCGTATAAACAAATCACATATCAATAATTTATGATAAACTAAAACATCAAATAAAGTCATCTAAACAAAAAGTATGTGACACACACTTATTTACAGTAGCTAAACATTTCAGAATATGTTTTGTGAAATACACAAGAGATATAAACAGACACACTCATTTTGTGATACACAATACATAAGCAGCACACATATAGGCATGGTGTGTTTTTTTCACACAGGTTAAATGTGTTAATGTACACATTGGTTGTACACATAGGTAAATACATGGGCATGCCACATTTCTATATGAAATTCTAAAAACATGTAGAAGTTTTCTTTGATGTATGGTCACAGCTTGTTGTATACATTGTTAACAAAAACAAAAAAAAAATGAAAGAAAAACTCAAAAAGGAGAATTCTCAAAATAATTAACTAACTTTGACGTTTTAAACATTGTGAATATTGGATGAGTTTCAAGGAATGTTTTAAACTAAATTCCAATATTGTTGAGAAATATAATATCAAAGGGACTCCACAGAAGATTTTCACATGACTGGACTGAATTTTCAAGATCTATGAAACAATACATTAGATGTAGGCTTGACCAATAACTTGTGTGACAAAAAAATGAAAAGCATTGAATCAGGCTAAGAACTGCACAAAATAAAATATTTCTATTTAATTCTAAGTTATATCTGTATTATCTGGTCATGGTATTGGTAGTTTTCTTTCCTGATCACAATAGCTAGGGAGCCACATTGAATTTACTAGAGCACAGTTCGTCCATTGAATCGTTCCTGGTTAAGCTGTCAAGCTGTTTACCAGTACTAGTTACCTTCACATTTGCAAGAACTGATATCTTCTGTATATGTAAAAGCAGATGTTCAGTGTGAATGACCGTAGGAAGGATTACAATATCAATCACTAAGAAAGTGACCTACGGTGTCCGGGAATCAAACCCAGATCACCTGAGTCACAGTCCAACATTTTACCTATCAAGCTAACCAGACAGCTTTGTATTATCTTTGCATAATTTTCCCTTTCATATGCCCCAAACCCTTGGACAATCCCCAAGGGGAATTTAAAAAGTTTATTTATTAAAATTTTTTAACCTAAAGTGGTTTCCTTTTAACTATTAAAAAGAAATTTAAAAATTTTAAATAAATCCCAAAAAGGGGGAAAAATTCCAATTTTTCAAGAATTTCTTTTAAATTTTGGGGGAATTTCTGAAATTTTTTGTTTAAATTTTATCTTTTCAACAAAAAAAAACCCTTAAACCTTTTAATTTTTGACAAATTTTAAACTTTCAAGGGGTCATACAATTCATGCACGGGTTTAGGGATATTTGTGTTTTTTTTTTAAAACATTTAAAAAAAAGGGAGAACCCTAAAAGTACCACACAGCTAAATTTTACAAATTTTTTTTATTTTTAAAAACACAGTTTTACGGGAAAAATTTTTATTAGACCCCCAAAAATTTTAAAGGGGACTATTAAAGGGGGCATACCCCTTTAACTAATATCTTGCTGCATTTTTTTATGTTTTTTGGCTTTAAAAAGGGAAAAATTTTAAACATAAAGCAAATTTAAAAAAATTGTGTAATGGGAATAAAATAATATTTTGATGTTTTTTTTTTAAAATTTTTTTTAATTTTCAAAGTATATATATTAGAAAAACTAGAAATGGCCACTATCATGGCGGTGAATACCCCCGCATACCACTTTGTCAGAATTAACAGTGGCCATTTAGAACTCAAGGACAAACCTCCCTGCCAAATCTGAGGTTACTAAGCCAGTGCATTGCTAAGTTATGTATTCTACATGCTTCAAATGTGAAAATGTGTCAAATCAATACACTCTGGACAGGCATTCTTGAAGCAATTGAGGGGAAAAAGCTTTTATTTTCGACAAGGTCCCTTTAACCTTGACCTTCGACCCCAGGACCTCAAAATCATTACGGATCATTTTACTAATCTGACTAAACCTCCATGCCAAATATGAAGACTGTGGAGTCAAAGGAATCTTTAAGTTATTGGGCCGCGACAAGCTTTTTTTGAAGTCAAGGCCTCCTGGTGACCTTGACCTTTGACCCTGGACCTCAAAATCTCAATAGGGGTCATCTACTAATAACGACTAACCTCAATGCCAAATATGAAGACTGTGGGTCATAGGAATATCTTAAGTTTATTGGGCAGAAAAGCTTTTTTATGTCAAGGCCCCTGTGACCTTGACCTTTGACCTGGTGACCTCAAAATTGATAAGGGGTCATCTACTTATCATGACTAACCTCCATGCCAAATATGAAGACTGTGGGTCAAAGGAATCTTGAGTTATTGGGCGGACAAGCTTTTTGAAGTCAAAGCCCCTGTGACCTTGACCTTTTGACCTGGTGACTCTCAAAATCGATAGGGGTCATCTACTAATCATGACTAACCTCCATGCCAAATATGAAGACTGTGGGTCAAAGGAATCTTAAGTTATTGGGCGGACAAGCTTTTTGAAGTCAATGCCCTGTGACCTTGACCTTTGACCTGGTGACCTCAAAATCAATAGGGTCATCTACTTCAGGACTAACCTCTCAATGGGCCAAAATATTGAAGACTGTGGGTCAAAGGAATCTTAAGTTTTTTGAGCGGGATCAAGGGCTTTTTGAAAGTCAAAGGCCGCCTGTGACCTTTGACCTTTGACTGTTGGGGCCTCCAAAATCATAGGGGTCACCTTTACTTATCAGGACTAACCGCTTTCAATGCCAAATTTATGAAGACCTTGTGGGTTTTAAAGGAATCTTAAGTTTATTGAGCGGGACAAGCTGTTTTTAAAAGTCAAAGCCCCTGTGACCTTTGACCTTTGACCTTTGGTGACCTCAAAATCCCCAATAGGGTCATCTAAATTTATGCAGACTTAAGCCCTCCATCCCCAAATTTATGAAGGGACTGTGGGTCAAAGGAATCTTTAGTTTTATTGGGCGGACAAGAAAAACCGACGGACGGGCCCCCCCGGACGCCGGGACGACCCCGGGACGGACAATTCTGATTCCAGTATACCCCCCTTACAACTTTGTTGTGCGGGGGTATACTTATTCAAGTGCCATGCATACTTTGTAATTTGGCTATGCCCCTGATACATTCAAACAGATGAGAGTTTTACTGAATTGGGATGACTAAAAGTGTAAAGGAAAATATAATGTACATGTAATAGTTTTCCTTAAAAAGCTGCTGAATTATTGACTTGTGCAAGAAAATGATTTAAACCTTTCACTTAAAGATCAGGGGATGTTTCAGCTCAAAATACAATTGGATTTAATATATCATCCTCAAGTTGAGTATTAAGCAATACCAAACATAATCATATGGTGACTTTCTAGTTTTAATAGTGAAGAAAGGTGCTAACCCTATCAAATATTTTCAGCAAGAACAATTAATTACAGCCGTAAGATAGCTGGATAGCTTCCTCACAAGAATAAAAACCTACAGCGGCGAGGAGTGAGAGATTCTTTGCCAGCAATGCTTATCGCTTGGCCCCTTAAGACTTTCAGATTTGATAAAATATGATATCACAAAGTCCTTTTTCCAAAAAAATTAATACAGTTATTGTCCATTTTTTCACAGATACACTGACAGTGTCTGATAATGTTAAGATTTTTCAATATATCATTCCCAATGCAGGAAAACTCTTTAATCACATAACAAGGGATAAACGCATATTTACTGAATAATCTAGGCGAGATCCTCCTTGATCCTTTTTGTGTATCGATTCCTAAAACATGTGTAAATGCAAACATTGTAGTTTAAACAAAATACGATCATCAGTCCAAATTGATCATTTGTTTGCATTATCTACTATATCAATGTATATTTGTTGTTTACATGTTGTATAAAAAAACAATTCTTAACTCTTACCCTACAGGAATTGAAGTTGTTTAGCCTTTGCCACCAGTACAGAGCCACGCCAGCCTGCACATCTGTGCAGTCTGACCAGGGTCTTTACTGTTTGCTGACCAACTGATATACCCATAATTGGTAATTGAGAGTTCTAAAACTGGAAGCTGGAAAAGTTCAATTAAGAAATTCAGCAGATTAGGGGTTAAATATTATGGCCACTTAACACAGGTTAAAAGATGCTCTTAATTTTTCATTTCATAGTTGCTCTCCAATAACACTTCATTTAACTTGCATGTTGAGTAAAAACACAAGAAGCATTATTTCTGAACAACATTTACTATAGATAGAAGTGTTTCAATCTAAATGTTTAAGTAAAATGACCTAAAACAAAGTATGCAAATCATTATAATATATTAGTAAGAGTAACAATATAAACAAATAACATTAAAGATAACCCACAGTGGTGAAAAAACAAGCCGTTCAAAGTCAGACACCTTAAACATTTTATCACTGAACTTGGAACATGCCCTAAATTGCAATTTTCTTATAGGATATCCTGTATAAGGAGCAAAGAACAAACAAACAACATGTCATAAAAAGAAAATAATTAGAAGAACTTGAAACAACTGAAACATGTGTTACCTTGTTCACAAGTGACTTATGAACAATCGTTTTCTGTGGTGCAAGTGTTTGGGTTAGCTACATACAAAAACATTTACAAATACAATACATTTTCAGACATTTTCTCGGTGGATTGCAACAACAATGGACATATTTGCTGGATGTAAATCAGGTATGACTTAGAGAGAACCTTTTTCTATTATGTGAAACATGCTAACAGATTATTTTCAGGATATTTTTAGGTCAGTTTTAACAGTGAGAAAGTGATATGGTCTAGAAATGGTTGTCAATGAAGTATAAATAGGCAAAATCTATGAATGGCAAAAGGCGCAGGTCTTACTTTTCTATTTCAATCTGTGAATTCAAATAACTTTTATCTTCTAATGTTTTTTCAGTTTGTTTGTTTTTTTGTTTTTTTCAGACTTGTTTTGTATTTTAAATCTAGTCTGGATTCGCTTTGACATTTTCTTTTTCACTAAAACATGCCATTTCATGTCACATGACTTTCCGAACTGTCACAACCACAATACAAGTTATAGCAGACCATATTCCAACTTCACTGGCAGATTCAACACACCAAAGTGTTATCCTGTGTGTAAATTTCAGTTATAACCAGGTCCATTAATTAAAACATTTAAGTTACAGCACAAATTTTAGACATCTTAGCTTTGTTAGGTAAAATACTCCTAAACACAAACAAGGTTATTTTAAAACTGCAGTAAATTCTAAGCAAAAAAGAAACATAAAAACTTACCTGAACATTTCTAGGTTTATTAACTGGTTCATCATCTTCATCTTCTTCAAAATCTTCTTCATAATCCTATAAACAGATTACAGGTTCTCACTCATATATAAATGTATATATATTTTATTTTAATAAACTTAAGTTTTTTTATCCTATTTCTTCCTTTTTGAGACACGAAAAATGTCTTTTCTTATGAAAAGTTTGAGGCTTGAACTGTTCCAGACCAAAACGAATTAACGCTTGTTGTTTTTTATGTTAGCTTACCCTGCGGGGACAACACTTGTATTTTTAACTTTTTCTAAAAACAAACAAATAAATGGTTATTCAAATCTTTAAAAAGAAAATTAAAGAAAAAATATGAAGTTTTTCCTTTTCTTAGATTTTAATCGGTCTGTCTTGTCACACTTGTTGTTTTGTCGAAGTATGAATTCTATATCCTTTCCGCGACAGTAACATATTTAAACGTATTCCTATTTTAAGAAAGAACACCCAAAACGTAATAAAAAGTGTCAAAATTTTCTATTCTCAACAGTGGATGTTGTTTTGTCGTGTTATGACATTTTTGTAATGACAAGATGATTAATTATTGCTAATAAGATTAATCATTTTTTCGGAATTCTAAGTTTCAGTCATTTAATGGTAACTTCGCTTTGACACGTAGTGGATATCATATTTATCTATACCGCATAATGACCCGTAACATACTAAAACGTATTTTCGTCAAAATGTGCATTTATAATTATCTGAGATTTTTATTTCACAGCAAACAAACTACTATCTTCATAACATAAAATGACGGTGTTTTCAATATTAAGGACATACAACCATTATCGTTTAAATACGGTATATTCCCCGTTCACAAGAAAGTCTAAACCGTATTTATGCGTAAGATTTATCACAAATTACGCTTTATAAGACTTAACTTAATTCTTTTATGCTGATTTACGTTACAGTTTTTAAGACTGTTGAAAAAACACACGTTTTATTACGTTTCGGGTTTCCTTCATTAATTCAGACCCCGCTTTTAGGGTTTGAAAGAATGTGCCCGTTTTAAAACGTTACAGGTGTCTGTCCCAAAAAGAGGGTCGGTTGTGGAAAGAATATATAAATAAATATCAAAGTTAAGAAAATTTACTCAAAAATTCAATCATTTGATGGTCAAGGTCATTTAAAGGTCAAGGTCATATCTAAATTATTCCACATGTCTGTTTGGTCACAAGTGTTGTTTTGTCCACATATGAATCAAATCTGTAAATCCATAAAAAAACAAAATTATGACAACTTAACCAAAATTCAATACTTTGACCTTGCAGATCAAATCATTTAAAGCTCAAGGTCGAGAGTTCAACCTTTCAGAAGATCTTGTCCAAAAGGTTGTTTTGTCCAAGTATGAAAATAATCCATCAATTAATTACCAAGTTACAGCCATTAATAGCAATAATCAGTAAAAATTAAATAATTTGACCTTCAAGATCATACATGAGTTAAGGTCAATTTGAGTTTGACATACATGAAGGTCCTGACCTAAAAAATGTTGTGTCTAAATTTGAAGTTAATTCATTTATAAATAACAAAGATATAGCCAGTTACAGAGAAAAACAAGAGAATTTTATTAATTTAACCTTGACAGTCAAGGTCAATTTAAGGTCTAAGTCACATGTAAATTGTTCAATATGTTTGTTTGGTAGCAAGTCTTGTTTTGTCCAAGTATTAATCAAATCCGTACATAAATAATAAAATTATGACAATTTAAACAAAAATTCAATAATTTGACATTGATGGTCAAGGTCATTTAATGTGCAACGTCAAGGTCAGTTCAACCTTTAAGAAGGTCTTGTCCAAAAACATGTTTTGTAAATGTATGAAGATAATCCATTCATGAATTACCAATTTACAGTCAATTTTAGCAAAAATCAGCAGTTGCATGCAAAAGGTAAAAAAAAAATAACCCTGGTTTACTTTGAATATTCTAGCAAAACGTAAAAGAAATCATACTTCAAAATCTTCCTCATAATTGTATTCGTCTTCTTCCTCTTTCTTTTCCTGAAATAATATCAGCAGAGAAAATTTTTGAAGCCGTCCCAAAACTTGTGTAAGATTAATTCATATATTGGATGGATTTCAAACACTATTTCCAAGAGTTACAGGTTTTTTGTTTCTTTTTTATTTTGGTTGGTTTTTACATTGCACCGACAGTGTATTTCATACTTTGACTTTCCAGCTTTACTGATAGAAGAAGACCTAAGGTGCCCTTCCCTGCATTATTACAGGCACAAATGGGCACCCGAGTAGAATCACCAACATTCTATATAGCTTCCTCACATGAAACAATCCCTGTCGGGACTCGAATCCATGACAGTGAGGGGCAAGAAGTTTAAAGTCAACTACCTGAACCACTCGGCCTCAGTTAATTTCCCGAGTATGGGTTTCTGAGATACAATTCACTAGTGTATTTCGAAGACAGTAAAGGCTCTATCAGCATATTTTCTGCACATTTAACAAATTAAATATATGTAATTTCTCTGAATATTCAATTCTGAGGCTAAGGTACATCAATTTATTTGTATCTTTGATTTAACACATATTGTAAACTTTCATAAAATTTGGAATGTAACAGGAGGCATGCTGCTTTAACATCAATGAATTTTTTAAACAAAGGAATCAATACTTTATTTAAAACGTTTGCATAGCAAGTTATAAGTATAGAAACATTTGCTTTACCTCTTCTTTTGGTTTCTTTTCTTCTTTCTGTCTATGACGATCTTCTCTTTCTCTTCTTCGTTCATCTCTCTCTCTTTCCCGTCTTTCTTCTTTCTCTTGTTCACTCTCTTTATGTCTGTCCCTGTCTTTCCTAAATTGACAATAATAATTTGCATAATTAATATACAACCTGTGAACTTGTTATATCTTAATTTGAAGCACTTTTAGAATCTGTTCGCAGTAAAACCCATATCTTAAAATCCTAATCCTAACCCTAAACCTCTAACCTGTAACACTAACCCTTGACCGTAACCCGAGAAGTAATCTGAGTAATTTTTAGAAAAACATAAACTCTTAAATATTGAAGAAATAATTTTGTGTAAAATGTTAAAAATAGCTGCGGACATATTCTAAAGTAATTCGAAAATGTTTTCTCTTGTTTTTTAAAGAAATTTAAATTATCTACAAATTATTTCATCACCATCAATTTTAAGATTTTTAATTTTTTTTTTTTACTCTACCTATCTCTTTGTCTATCCTTATCTCTTTCCCCTCTGTCCCTGTCCCTGTCTCGATCCCCCCTTTCTCTATCTCGATCCTTCTTTCTATCTTCATCTTTTCTTCGTTCTTTCCTTTCCTCATGTCTTTTTCTCCTCTCCTCTTCCTGTGCATAAAAAAATCATTACTTGAAAACATGTTTGGAGATCTTCAATGTATTTTGTAAATGTACATGTCAACACCACATTTGAAATTGGATAAATAATAAGTAAGAGGTCAACGACCATAACCACTTGGCCAGGGAGCCCCTCATAATACATTTAATAAATCTTGTAGCTGATTTATTAAAAGAACTTCAGAAAAACTTTCAATACCAAAACAAATTAACTGTTTTGCTCATTTTATTATGAAAATTTAAAATGTGGATAAGATTTGATATTTAAATGATATCTGACAGTTTAGCTCATTTTGTTATGACAACTTAAAACTCAGATTTGATTTAATAATTAAATGTTATCTGACTGTTTTTCTCATTTTGTTATGACAATTTAACATTTAATATTTAAACACTATCTGTTGAAGGAACAGATAAAAGAGAACCTCCTGCATTTCTCTTTCCCTTCTCCTTTCACTTCTTCTTCTCTCTCTTTCATCCTGTAAATGAATTCACACTCAAGAAAAAACATAGTAAAACTACTACAATACATGCACAGGGAATAAAAGGCAAAGGTAAGCATTTTTCTCTCAAGTTTTAAGTTATAAACTAGATGCATTTGTCCTTAAAGTATGATTTTGACCTTTGACTTGCCACACTGTTCTTGCGCATGACAGGCAATCTCATTATTGTGAACATTTGTGCTAAGTTATTTGAAATTCTGCCAACTAATGACAAGAGTTACGACCCGGACAAGCATAAGCCAGACGTACATACATTAAACCGCCATTGTGACAATTATGTCAAGCTCTCCTCAAGTATGCTTGACAAAAAGAACTTCTGCATCTTAAAGCATTTCATTTTTTATATATATATTGTAAAGAGAGCATTTCAAACATTGTCGAGCAAAGGAGCAAATAAGAGTCTAAGGTTGGAAGAATAAAAAAATATTTAAAATTATAATACGAAAGCGAAGTAAGCATGTAGTTTTGACTCATATAATATTTTGAGAAATTGTTAATTGAAACAATTACCACAAAGGAGACATAAAGTCACATAACTAGATAAAATTTATACTAAAATTCTGACAGCACATCTACTTAATTACAGAGATGATTAAAGAGGGTTACTGGTATATCAACAAGGTGACGGAACAGAAAATAAGTGTTAAATTAAATTGTAACAAGGGATACAAAATTATGTAAAATCTGTGCAAGATTTAATTTAGTCAAGATATACAATATTTATATAAAATCTGTGTTAAGTAAAACTGTGTCAAGATATACAACATTAATATATAATCAGTGTGAAATTAAACTGTGTTGGGGGATACAACATTAATATACATTTATAATTGTATGGCTTCTATGATAAAATTGCAATATAAACATGCAATCTAATTTTCATTTATAACAGATTGGGTTGTTCAAAGTGATATACAATGTAAATACTTGTATAATGTTGGGGTGGTTTTCCCAAATCAATGCAAGATGATTTTATATAATATTCTATTTTTAGAAAATGTTTACATTCTTAAACCGAGACCTTGGTACAAAGAATATCATAAACAATGGTTTTTGTACCAAGCCCCTATAAAAATGAATGTGGGCTTATATCCAATTTTTTTTCATGTGCAAAAAAAATTATAAATCATAGAAGCCTTATTGTTAGTACAAATCAATTATAACATTTTTTATACCTCATCATCTTCATTATGATGTCTCCTTCGTTTATCTCTATCATCATTGTCATGTTTCCTACGTCTTTCTAGACCGTCATCCTCTCCGTCGTGATGTTTTCTCCGTTTATCACGATCATTATCGTCATCTTTGTGTCTGCGACGTCTTTCTCTGTCGTCATCTTCGTCCCGATGTCGTTGTTCCCGTTCCTGACGACGCCTTTCACGATCATCATCGTCATGGTGCCGCCTCTCTCTATCACCATGATGACGCCGTCTACGGTCCTCTGACCCATTTTCCTCTACGTCATTAAGTTCTATGTCCCTGTTGTCTGATTTACCCCTCTAAAATGAGACAATTTAAAATTTTACTAAAATTTTAGAGCTTACAAGTAGTGATGTTTCTTTTTCTGGGAAAGGACCACAAATTTTACATAAGCTATTTGGATAGTTTTTATATATGTATAACTTTGTCACATTGACTGCCATGTTTGTAAATAACAGTCAGCACCCTGATCAACAATCAAATATGGTAGAGTCTGTTTATAGGTATACAGCTGCTATATTTCAGTATTTCAGCTAGGAAATCCCTATTAATGCTAACATAACTCAATCCTTAATCATATATGAAAGAGTTTCAATATTAAGAAAAGCTCAGATTAAGGTCAAATTATTTCCATCACATATACTTGCATTTTACATTCATCTGATCAACACCAACATATCACTACATAAACTTAAAACATACACTAAATAAATTTTAAACATAGCAAAACAGTATTTAATTTGTTTTGATAAAACTTGCGTCAGGGTTGGGCAAAGATAGGGGTTTGAGTAAAATAACCAATCATTTTTTTTTTCTTAACAAGTTTGTAGACTTCAAACTAATAGTAAGAGCCCAGGGATTCAATTATACATGGAGATATTATTTCTGATAAATCAATACGTACAAACTGGATTTCTTTCCCCTTTTTGTCTTTACTGCTACCACCATCTTTTCCCTCTCGTTTACGTCTGCGTTCCTCTCTCTGTCTTTCACGCTCCTCCTAAAGTTCAACAGACAATAAAAGTCTTTGTAAACAAATAATAATAGTGATACTAAAGTCATACCAGTCTAAACATTCATGTTGTCTAACCATACTCTATATTGTTAGCTATTGAAATCCGTTACAGTTACACATTCACCTTAGTGCAATAACTGATTAAAGTCTATTAGAAGGACTTATTCTGTTACAGCACTAAGGTAACCACACCTTCATATATCTGAGTAAATAAATACTGTATATCCCCTAATAAAAGCCCCTTCCCAAATAAACACCTTGAACATTAAATTTTTCATAAAAGTCATCATTAATCTGGTGGTGAGCGACTAAATTATTTATCAGTTGTTCCAAATTCAAAACTCATCAAGTCCATTTTACAAATTCAACAACATAAAGATTTAATTTATACAATACCTTATGTATAAGATTACATTACAAAATATGCAAATAAACATTCTTGAAAACAAAAACTGACTGTAGATTACAGATGCCTATGAGATTTCCAAGTGTTTCAATGGGCATTCGTTATAATCTAACTTTGAGTTTTATTTGTGACCATAACATTGATAAATGTTTAAAAATCTCATTTTTAGCTTTTTGTTTGCCAAGCTTATTTCGTTAATATTCTTAACTAACTTTTTACAAAGTCTACAATGAACAGAATAGTAATGTCAATAAATCTTACCTCTGTCAAACGGGCTTCTCTTCCTTTTTCATCCTAAAATTAAAAAATATACATTAATCATAATTCATTTATCAACTGCTTATGAAATTTTGTTCAACTTTGTCATATTCAATATGTAATGTATATTATAATATAAAATGGGTTATAAAGACTTGCTACTCATAGAAGTATCTTATAATTATATGATTGTTTATTCTTTAACAGACTTGGTCGAGAGTGGAAAGATACTAGAATTCAGAAGCATAACCATTTAAAATAGCAATGAATTAGTCCAAAATAAATGTAGGCCAAGTCCAGTTGACAAAAAAAGCAGGTTGAAAATTTAATCAACTAAACATCCGAATATTCCCGGGTAACATTTATCAGTTCCCTGTCACATTATACGTACATCATCTTTATGCCTGCGTCTTCTATCATCATCATCTCTATGACGTCTATCTCCATTAACCTTTTCTTTCTTTCTATCTTCATCCCTATCTCTGTGATGTCTTCTTTCACCTGTCTATAAATAGAAAGTATTTCTATACATGTACTGTCCTATGAAAACAATATATACAATAAAGAATTAAAATCAAAAGATTTTAAATAGGATTTTGCAATGGTAAAAGGAACTTTACAGTTTCAACATACATGTTTATTCAGCACTATTGTCAAAAACTTAGAAGAGCATATTTTTGAATCACTTTCCAGTCTCCGTCCTCTAATCAGTACAAATGTAATCTTAGAAATAAGGTTATGACCCTAGTAAGGCTCCAACCCATGATCCTGGCTGGATTTAGCGGCAGACACTCTAACCTCCAGACCACCTTTCTCCTTTATAATAAATATCATTACATCTTTATTGTGTCCTGTCCATGAAAAATCAGATTCAAAAATAAAAATCTGATCTGTAATTAACTCTATTTATTTTATTTGGTATCAAATCAACTAAATCACCTCAAAGAATAATGATAAATGCATCTTGTTCCAATTTAAGATGGAACTACTTCTGTTTGATTTTAAGTCATACCAACTCAGTAAAGGTTATGCAAGCTTTCAATCTTCAACAGTGCAAGAGGACCTCCTGTTCTAATCGGAGAGTTTTTACAGGCACAAGCTGATACCATGCCTCAAGAAGAACCATCAACCTTGTGAAAGCTAGCTACAGTGTAGATAGCTCCATCACACGCATGAAACCAAAGTCTCTGGAGGGCTTTGAACCAATACAGTGAGTGGCAACTGATTTGAACTAAACAACTTTTATTACTCCATAACAGTGATCTCATGTTTAGCTTCTTCACATGGATATATAGCAAATGGTTTGACTTTATTAACACTTGGAAGAAATTTTTAATTACCCTTCTTTTTTTTATTTGAAACACAATATTTTTATACATTAAAAGATAATTTTAGCAAACAAGGAACCTATGTTTTGCCCTAGGCCTGAATTTTTTATGTGTAGATTAAAGTCGATTTACAAAGGCAAAGGCTGTTTCTAATTAAAGTAAATTTATTTAGACAAGTTCTTATTTTGATTCTTTTCTTTGGTTTTAAGTCACACTGACTCTGCCAAGATCAAATGATGACATTCCACCATTACTGATAGACCAAGTGCTCCAGTATCCTTCCATTTTAAATTATATTTATGATTTAGAACAAAACATTAATCAAGCTTTGATAAACTTAAAAAGCAACTAAACCAAACTTCAACAACATAAAACGAATGGACAGTTCAACAAAAAAGCATCACAAGAAAAGGCTGAAATATTGCTTTTCAGAAAAAATTAAAACAACAAAGCACAGAAGCAAAGCACCACCATTCTACAAGCTGTTTTGAACCAAATTCAATGCAAGAAATGTGTGAAATAATAATCACAACAACAACACTATTGGTGACACCAACAGAATGTTCTATGACTATTTTTTCAAATAATGATTACATCAATAACAAGCTATGAGGATCAGGAAGAAATTTCAGTCTCAGTAACTGTGACCTTGCCCTAGTGACATTAATTGTATCCAAATGTAGCAGTCTATGCAAGGTCATTAGTAATACATTAGTATCACAAAAATTATGATACTACTCATGTTAAGTAAACATTCTATAAATAAAGGTGAAGGAATATCATTTCTAATTTCAGTGACCTTCACCCTATCAACCTTAAACAACAACACAGGGTAGAGATCCAGATAAGGTACTGATATCCCAAATATCTAAGATATCAGTCAATAAATGAAGGAACTGTAAAGAAAAGTACAAAAAAAACTTTTCATAGCCTCATGCAGTAACCTTGGACCCAATCAAATTCATAACCATTCCCAAGCAAGGCACCTACATGTAATACATTACACACAAATATGAAAGATATTCAATATTAGTGATAAAGAAAAAAGTTTCTTTAAAGAAAAGTACAAACTTTTTTAAGGTGACAACGGAGTCAATTATCACTGAAAATACCTAAAATGAGATTTTTTGCTAAGTAGATTTATCAACCTTTTCTGAACACATTCGTGATTTAATTTTGGAAGCAGTTAGTCCAAAAAATGTGTTTTTAAACGATTTAAAACGGTACCTATACTATTTGTATCTGCTATTCGCGTAACCTGTCGATTATCGATAACGCTCCGCCCCCTGTTGAGGCATCAATGAGGGAAATCGGTAGTTCCATATATCCGTGAATTACAGGTTCATACTGGTCCATATAATTCTCGTAATACATGTATCGTTCATCTACCGTACATCTTTTATGAATATCTCAAACATTTAGCCTTTTTTTATAAATTAAGAAATTGTCGGCCAATGTACGTAACATAATGTATGAAACATAAATAATTAAGCATAGCGGCAAATCGCACGACCACGGGTTGATTAAAAATGTAGTTGCTAAAATATCCATAATGTGTGAAAATAATTTGTCTGTCCCGTTAATCTTGATATATTACATTGAGTTGATAGACTTTTGTTACGGATTCAAGGGCTTACTTTACATTCAACCTCGTTTTCTAACAATGTCAAGTAAAACAACAACAGACGACATTTTTTTATGTGAACGCTTATATGACTTGTGGTAAGGTGTCCCTGACAAATTTCTAAAAACCATTTTAGATTGTCTAAGGATGATTATTTCTCTATGAATAAAAAAAGATATTAAAAATATATTCTCAGTGAAAATAAATTGTTCGCCAGTAAATCCGACACAGTACTAATAAATTAATCTGGGACAAAGTATGAAATTTATTGTCTATCCCGGAAGAAACTGGATCTCTATGCCGTGCATAGATGATATTCATGATAATAGAAGTCAAGAAGGCCACATCATAATGATCGAGTAATACCTTTTATTTCTATTAAAATATGTGAAGCATTATCAATTTGGTGGAAAAAATATATACTATCCCGTTCTTATTTGTACATCTACCATGGACTTTAAAAGACTGTCAGAAGCTCAGTTTTTTGTTATTTTGTTTTATATTTTAACGGAATTTCATACACGAATACACAGGCAGAGTGACACTGGTATAATACAATAATAATGCTGATGATAATAATAATAAACTTCAAATAGGAAACAATTAAATACCCCGCTAGCGGTGCGCAAATGCGTTTCATTTGCCCCCACCGAGTGCCTCAAATTTTACCGATAGTCACGTGACATGTGCGACAGATACCAGACGGACAGTAAATCACGTTAAGAATTGAAGAAATTTCGGCTATAAACTGATATTAATCAGCAGCTTTTTAATTGGTCAGATGTCACTGGGTCATAAAATGTTGTTAGAGTATGTTACCGCAACTTGTGACCCTCTCTGGTGCGATATTTGTGTATTATGCAATTATTTAGCGTGAAACGTAGGGGTCCGAGAGAGAACAGCCGATTTATGACACTTCGTTTGATGCGGGTCTGACTAACTTTGAATCGGCATAACTTTTTTAATAATCAAGCAATTAACATGCGGTTTAAAGCACATGAAAGGAAATTCATTTACGGAGGGAACCGTGTCAGGGATTTTTGTTTGCTCAATCAGCCACTTAATTATCTTTAATTACGTAATATGTATGGTGAAAAAAGTCGCATAAAATGTTTGACGTTACGTAATATTTTTTTGAGAAAAGATATAAAAAATTTGAGACACGGTTCCCCAGATAATATAAGTACGGTTATTTTCCAAAAGTTTGATGACAAAAAAAATAAAAAATGACTTTGATATGACGATTTAAAATTTTAGGATTTTTATTCAAAATCAATCATTTACAAAGGCATTATTTTCAAATATGTTATTTTTTATGATGATCAACGACATTTAATGCACAAAGATTAAATGAATAACAATTATTACTAAAATAACTTGGTTTAAATGACATTTATGTGAGTACCACGGAAAGTGTCTGTTGTCACCTTAAAGCCTAACTAAAGTGTTGAACTTGAAATATACCCAAATCTAACAGTCCATTCAATTTACCAACATACCAAATATCTTAGATATAAGACCATTAATGCATGAGCTATTAGAGAAAGTGAAGATGGACAGAACTATAGAATATACAAATTAAATTTTTTTTGGTTAACCTAAAAAAAAATACCTGGAAAGAACAAATATTGGAGAATGCAGTTAGTTATCATATTAATTGTGACAAGGATTATGTGTATAAATAGTCGGTAGAAAGTCAATGTGATGCTCTCACCTTACTAAGAGCTTTGTTTAATTCATCAGGTGTCCAGGTGTCTTCCTTGGACCGTGTCTAGAATTAGAGAAAACAGTGTGAAAGTTAAGGTGCAAAGAACATGCAGCACACAAAACGAGGGGGTCAAAATTACAAAATTGTGAAAGACAAGGCAAGTTTGAGTAAAGTGGTCACATATTTAAGTCACATATTCTACATATTCTATCCTCTCTCTTAACACCCTCCCACCCCATTTTTAAAACTACAGAAACACCCTCACTTGAACCATCCTCTGTTTATTCCCTTTTTTTCAATTAAATGTCTTGTATTTCAAAATATACAATTTATAATGATAAAAAGACATACCTGTTATTTTATACAGAAATATTGACAATCTATTAGTTTACACCCCATTGTATATTTCATTTAGTCAATTTTGTATATAGTTAACTAAAGAAAACAGAATGAACCATATCACCTCATTTAATGAAAATTGACAGCTCATGCTCACATAAAAATTGACGATTATTTTGACATGTTATTATTTTGAAATTAAACACATCTGCATATTTTATCTCAGTTATTAATATAGGGAGCAAAGAAATAAGACAATGTCGGTTGTGAAAGAGGGCTATGTCAAACGACAAAGCAGTATCAGTCATAAATGAGAGTCAACATCCTCCTTTATATCTTTAATTAAGGATGACTGATACCTGGAACATACATAAACATATACTGGCATGCGAGCAGTTCCCGTACAGAAGCAGTACCCGTATTTTTCATTTAAACGCTTGATTTTTACATGCATTCTTCAAAAATTCATTTCAAATCAAGCAGATACATAAACGAGACAAAATCTAAGTGTCAGTTCGGCAGTACGTATAAAAAGTCTCATTTTAAATCACTTTCACCTGTGCGTTGTCAAAACGTGACCTTGTTTTATCTGGGGGAATTCCGTCTTTGCGCGCATGCGCAAAAATACTTACACGTGAGGCATGTTAAAGGGTTTTCCACTAATACCACCTGTTTACAGATAAGAAGGCAATGTGATGAAAACTTGTTTAATTATCAGAATTTTGACCAATATTACTATATAAAATAATTTTATGGCTTTGATGCGTAAAATATCATGCATACAAGCATGCCATCGCATGTGAATGCGTTGGGGGTAACGGTACCGGGTAATAGATACACGCGTTTAGTCTACTTTCTATTTTCTGAATTACATCTATTTATCTCTTAGAAAATGGTCTGTTCAACAATTATAAATGAAAAATAGGTCCGATATAATAAAATTGTAGAATTATAATGGGTTAAATTTTATGTACGGGAACTACTTCTCTTCATACAAAATAATGGATAATTTCGGTACCCCATATGAGGCCTCATAACAAAGGGTTATTCTATGTTTAGAACATGATGGAATTTCCATGATTTGTGTGACGAGCCGAATATTGATGTGTAACATTCAAATTTTGGTGAGTGAGCGTAATAAAAAATAATGATTAAGTAACTACGATTTTTGTACGGAAACTGCTCGCATGCCAGTATACAGTACTGGACACGCGAAACCCGCACAATTCGCGTATTCGCGGCGAACTATCATGCTTTTTAACGCGAGCGAATTCGCGGCGACTTGAGACAATTGCCGCGAATTCAACTCGCGGCGATTTTGCCGCGAACATTTGCCGTGATTCGCGGGGAATAATACATGTTCATTTGTATAATAAATGTAGATCTATTTATAATTGTACTCGGTGAACTTGAAACCAGATATACATGTACAAGTACGAAAATTAATTAGGTTGTATCAAGAAAATTTATTGAAAACGTTACATAAGACATAAATTCAAGCATGGTCAAATTACCGATGTGATAAACTAATCCTGCGTAAATATCCCCGTACGACCTGGAAGAGTTATAGTGGATCACCGGGACATTTCGTTCTCTCGGGTAATCATTACTCAATTTATTACACGTCTGTAAAAAATAACACACGCAAGATTTGTCTATAATTTCTGAATGGCGGATATTTGCACCCCTGTTTTAAAAATGTTAAAATATTTAATTGTTAGTTACCGAAAATTATCGCTGATTGTTGATATTCCATAGCGCTAAAAGACACAAAAACACTCGCGCAAAAAGAAGCATCCATAAATAAAGGAATATAATGTTTCCATTGTTAAATAATAAATACAAAATTTATACACGAAATGACCTTTGACAAATGACTGGTCGGCTCTTCTGAAGAATCTGTGAATCTTTGATGTTTACACACCTGTAGTTGTTGCCGAATCATCAAAGAAATGCCGACACTCGATTGACTTCCAACTCTTTTTTATACATCAGAAAAAAACTGTCATTTCTTTTTGTCAAGGAATGATTACACATGTTTAATTATTGCTCAAGTAAAAAAAAATGTTGGATATTGATTGTGTCATATATTGACATATAATTAATCGTAAGTGCATTTTGATTGTGATATTTTATTTACATTTTTATGATCTTGAAGATATTGTGCAATACTTGTGTCTGATATCAAAACAATAATGCATATGAAAGGACCACAGCTTCCAAAAAAATATTTTTTCGGTCAATTTTATGACAGAATCCCCGCCGCTACCAGAAATTTTTTATTGCATGGGCTTAGTATTTAATCTGTGTCGTCAGTCATAAACAAACGAACATGTACCCCAAAGCACATTAAAATTACCACATGGTAAACTAGTGACCATATAAATGCTTTACAAATATTCATTAATTGAACAAAAATTTTTTTAATCCCGTTTCTACATGATACGTGCTATTATAAGTCAATTCAACTTAATTGCCGCGCGCATGCAGTACTGCGTGACGTAAGGAAAATATCCTTCCCTGGTTGGTCGCTATTTATGTAAATACTTTAAATAGTAACACCCTAATTTTATGCACAGAATGCCCTCATGAATGATCACTCGTTACTTTACATATTAAATGTGTGATTTAACTCCGATTTTAAATACTCATGCACCTGGCATTTTTTACTCGTGAAATTGAAGGTAAAGAATGTCTCAATTTAAGTGATAAAACTTACAATTTTCAACAATCAAAATTAGCGTATTACATGTGAATCGGTGCTAAATGTCGCTTTGCATTGTTCTAAAAATAGAATATGTGCGAAAGTAAACAATGGGTTTTAATTACATTTGTATTATCAAAATAACAATTGGACAATTTGTTATCGTGCGTTCTTGGATGTAGTACCAATTTCCTTTTGTAATTTCAATCTCGTTTTATTGTTAACTAATTTTCACCAGCCATGATACGCTGTACATGTACAAATGCTAAATATTTATAAATATACATGACGTTTACAAGATTTTTTTAAAGTTTTCAAAATTACAGACCACGGGAATGACCAAGTAGTACTTTCTAAAACAATTATTGCTGAAGATTCGCCGTAAATTACGGCGATACATCGCGGCGATTTTTCGTGAACCGCCATGAAATTCGGCGAACTTGCACGCGGCGATGTTTTACCGCGAAGTGTCCCGTCGCGACATAGACTACACTCGCGGCATAACGCGACTTTTGCGGGTTTCGCGTGTCCAGTACTGTACATAAACAACATGATTAGTTATATATGCTTCTAGTTTAGACACCAGGATAATTTAATTATATTTCAATCTGGGAAGAAATACAACAATTTATAGATGGTGCTCAGTGTTCAATCTAGCTTTATCTGAAAGGTGGCCCACATGAATGGAGATAGGGGGTCATCTTAAAAATTTGGGCATGTTTAAAACACTCACTATATAATAAACCCCCGATGGGCTCATTCCATTTATGCTCCCATCAACAATAAATGTTTAATATATACCCCAAAATATAGGCTTGGTTTCCGATTTTCCTTTGCTAATATAAACATAAAATTTGCAGTCTTTAACTTGAATCTGTCTCACAAAGATTACAAAACATTATCACAAAATTAATACTGTTTTCTACACCATTCCAATATAGTTTATAAATTGCAGATCTGTAATTTAAAGGGCTGTACTGATAGGCACAATGGCACAGACTAAATTGAACACTGGGTGCTATGTATGAAAACTACAAATATAGACGTTTGCAAGGATGGGGTTCTCACAGGAAGCACTATATATTACGACTTGGAAATATTCTATCCTATTCCCTCCTAAGATGATGAAAAAGAAAGGGATAGCACTAAGAGATCTTGATAAAATTTGTCCCTTTAGGTTTTATACGGGGAAGTCAAAGTCAGGGCCCGGGCTTTGGCTTGCCCGGCTATAGACTACACGTGTATATTTAAAAGAAAATCAAATAAAAAAACAATTAAAAAATATATAGAATTCTTTACCTATCAATTAAATTTTCAGTGTCAGTTCTAGTTAGGCGCCGCCATTTACAATGTAACTCAATAATAAAAGACGGTGTATTCCGATAACGGAACAAATCTCAATTTCGGATAAATAATAAACATCGAGTGTTCCGAGTGGAAACGGAAGTGGTGCATGAAATACCGAATGACACCTTTAAAACGGAAAAAAATGAAAGGAATTTTTAACGACTTCCACGTTCATAGGCTTTGCCTAATTTCATATTAGTTTATTCCAAATATCTATGCCAAAGCGCCACATAACCCCCAGAAATTGTCGCGCCGTGGCTGCCAGCAAACAACTGTGCGTTAACGGTTATACCTTTAAACTACTAAAAATTTAGCATCATGCACCATCATGACCATGGCATAACAAAAATAAACAAGAAAACTGATCTAGTTTCACGATAAATTTACAAAGGGTAACGACTTGTGGGTGATTATGTGAAAGTTAAATGTATGTTTATTACTTTTTGCGACGGCATATTGCTCGACAGTTATTTTAGTTTCTAATGTCACTATGTTCAAACAAATTTTCTATTTGACAGCTCCATCTCCAACGCCGCCATTTTCCAAGCTTTGGTATGTCCGTAAAGTGGATAAGTTGTTTATTTTACGACATACTTTCATAGTTTTGTTTAGGGGTAACATTACAAATATAATCATTCTTTAAAAAGCAAACTACTTTGCAGTCATCATTTAGATTAATTACTTAATTTATAAAACTAGATGTCGTTGTAAGTATCTAGGTTTTACACCGCTAAATTAGATAATAATTTATATATAATCGATACCAAACTACCTGTATCTGTATAAATGCATTATACCCTTAAAAATCATTTATTAGGAAATATTTCATTTAATATTACCCATTTACTTTTATAATACAGGTATACAGTTTATTGTCTATTAAAAACATATATCCATAAATTTCAATGAATTTTTTCAAATTCAGAAGTTAAGATAAACATATATATGGTAAGGGATATTATTCTAGACTACCTTTTCCACTTTGACTATCTTACAGTCTGGTCTACTGACCAGTAGCCAATATACAGCTTACCAAGTATTATTATCAAATATGCTTGCTACATTTCTTAACGTACAAAATCAGACGCCCCAACTCCCCCCCCCCCCCCCACACACACAAATCTTTTAAAGAATATGAATATTATTGAATCGCCGCTTGACAACAATACTGTTTACACCTTAATTATGTTAATTTTTATATACTTTTGACATTACATCGCGAAGTAATTGTTAATGATTACGTGCTTAGAGATTAGTTATTCTGTCAAGGTCAATCACAGAATCAGTAGCAATATTATCGGAAAAAAAAACTCGTAATTCAATGTTCATAGTTCAGCCTTCGTTATTTCTTTCATAGATCTAAATAAGATTTTATTCAATTTTTTTGTCAACTTTCTACCTTTATGTAAAGTAACGTTCCAGTACCGTCCATGAACAGGCTCAATCAAACCGAGCCTGCAACATTTTCAATTTTGTCGTGTTGGGCTTTCTTTAGGGATTCTGTATTTCTCTATTTTAATGTCACATCCGTGTTATTTGTGCCGTGTGGCGGCTGTAAAGTCTCCCCGTACATTTAATCAATGATGTTATATTTTCGATCCTTGGAGATCGTTCAGCACGACAATATTTGCTGTGTATACATGTTATGTGGTACTTTTAGTTTCTTCTATTTGGCCTTTTTTCATCTTGGGTGGTTCCAGTACTCCTACTTGAATACTATATAATCATCCTTAGGATATATGTTGCCTGCTTTTTAAATTTGTCTTTTGACGTCTTGTCTGTGAAACGTAGGCTTCATAACCTCAGATCCCCTTTCAAAATTCCATTTTATTCAGTTATGCCCATTGTTTTCTCGTTTAGGGCACACGCATTCTTTGCCGCTTTTCATGGAATGGCAGTATACTGTGTCACATTGAAGGTTCCATGATAATCGCCGTATGAACACATCTGCGGATGTCTCTAAATTCAAAATTTTACCATTTTTCGTGCTTAAATGTTGAATTCTGCTTAAGCCGGTGCTAGGGGGAGTGGACAGTAACTTGCACTTTCCAGTACCGTCCATGTACAGGCTCAATCAAACCGAGCCTGCAACATTTTCAATTTTGTTGTGTTGGGCTTTCTTTAGGGATTCTGTATTTCTCTATTTTATTTCTTGTAACATAGGCCTCCGGCCCAAAATACAACATAATACAACAAACATGACATAGCAATGGAAAATACAATGAGGTGATCATAAATATACAAAGTACATGTATATTGTAATATGAACATTGGTAGACATCATATCAAAGAAACTTAAAGATATATATAAAGATATCATCGGATGTATTACACTATATAATTACCATTAACATGTTTTATGTATGTATTTTTATGTACTGAATTGGCGTCTATATTTAAGTGCATGATCGAGAAAACGTGCGATAGTCATATATATAATGTCGCATCTGCGTTTCTTAGAACAGATATAAATTTTTCACGTGAAGGATTTTTCACCAATATATCTGGTAGAATGATTTTACGTATAGAATTAAAGTGAGTACAAATCAAGAGAATGTGATATTCATCATTGTATGGCCAACAGATATGCCGTTCCTCTCACATAGAACATGATTGAATGCGAATGGATGTTCAAATGTTGCTGATTAAATGCCTTGAATAATTACGTCTTAAATTATTTGTGGAGCGATGTCATATGACGGGACTACTTTCGTTGCATAATTTGCCCACCATCTTGTGCGCTGATTTGAAAAGTTTGGCCTCTTGTTAATCTAGTATAATTATATCTATATTCTGTTTTTGATTGGTCAATATGTTACTGTTCTTCATTGGAAACCACATGATCATGTATTTTTCATTTCCATAATATGCGAAATTTAAAGTTATTTCTCAATTATCTGGCGAAAAACGTTGTCTTTTATATATCTGCATTGTTTTCTCTTGAAACCGAGAAAAAGCATATATATCTCGAAATAACAGACTATCAAGTACATGTACGTGACTGTCATGAATATCACCATTGGTGCTGACTAGACGTTTTTTTCTCTTGAAGAGTGCATATGTAACAGCCGCTTTGTGTGAGGCAAACAAGATCACTATCTTACTTGTTTTGAAATCTGGTTACTTTTTTATATTTTAATACCTACGATGTACGTACAGAAGCTGGGCACATTGATATAGATACAATGTAAAGGCGATGACGATATAGATTGTAATTGGTTTTCACACGAGTGAAAACTACTGGAATGGATGCTTAGCACTTACCAGCTGGACAATATAGATCTAATTCATCAGTACGTCTGCGATGTTTTTTTTTTTTTTTTTTTTTTTTTTAAATATTTACCATTTATTTGATTACCTCTTTCCTCGATTGATGAAGCCTTAAATTATGACTTAAAATATTTGATTCAGTTTTATGACACGTGAACAACAAAAAATAAGCAGATCTATTGTAGTTTATGCATGAAACAGACTACACATTTACGCTTTACCAACGAGCGCACGTGCGTACACGCGACCTTGAATTTGTATCAGGAATACATGTAAATACTAGTATTTCTTATGGATGTTTTTTCTTATGATTTCAAAGTAAGTGTTCACAATTGTGTATCTTCAGTAATCTGAAATACTCAATAGGAGTTTTTCGGAATGATTAATAATTTAAGTCACTATCCGAGTTTTACTACCATCTAACAGCTATACAACTAATTGTAATAGACCACTAAATCTTTTCTCTTACCGTAAACCAAATCACTTCCGGGTAATTACCCTCGGGTCACAGAAAGTTTACGAACCGGTGATTATTTGTGTATTGCAGACGACACAGGTAAAATATTTATAGAGTAGCATCAGCAAAACTTATACTGTCAAGGCCAACAAAATGGCGAACGAAAAGCAGCCAGCTAAACCCAAAAGAAAGGCAGTTACAGAGGATACATTGCTTGTCAGTGTTCTAAAAAGATATTTCAAATATGCAGGGGCTGCAGTAGCGATCTGGGGATTTGGTTACTATCAATTCAGCCCAGCATGGATTTTATTAGGACTTGTTGTTATTACATGGAAAGAAAAGCATAACAAATTGCAACAGAAAAAGATAGAAATTTCACAGCAAGCTGCTAAAAATGAGAAAGAAGCAATTTTAGCAAGAGTAGAAGATTTGCCATCATGGGTAAGTGATATTTCTATGCATAAGCGTTATATTTAAGTGTTTAATGTGCTACATGCTTGAATGCACAATATGGTTGAAGAATGTGTGGGCATTAAAATATTTGGGTGTGGTGATTTAAATTGAAGTCCAAGTTCCAGTCACTTGAATAATAATGCTAAATATGCTTCTCTTTTGTTATTTCATTTTTTGACAGTCTTGTTTATCTTATTTTGTATTGATTTGAGGTTGGCCAAGGCATATTCTTAAATATATATATGTTTCAGTAAAAAATCTGCATATCATTCAGAATGATATCATTTTGATAGATTTTCTACTTACTGATGGAATTGTTTTTCATTAACAATACACCAAATTTACCTCAGCAGTTGAATTGCTATGGGGTGGAGCACTTGGGCACTGCAGTCTGATATTTTTCTGATAATTAAAAGAACATCACAGCCTCAGACTTATCCTACTGGTAATAACTGAACATTGCATCTTTACTTTAAAGAACAGGTGTCCATCAAATATCAAGTTAATTATCAAAGAAAACAACATTAAGGTCAAGCTGCCATGTTCATTTCTGGTACTACATATTGTGCATATTGGCACATGTTCAAATTACCTTGATAACAGTAGGGACATAGATACCTGTAGGGAGTAATTTTTGTGTCGCCTCTACGGAGTAGTGGCGACGTATAGGGATCACTTCTCCGTCGTCTGTCTGTCCGTCCGTCTGTCTGTCTGTCTGTTATGGCCCTTTGATAAAAAGGTGTTTTTTTCTGTGTGTTGCCAGATACACAAAAGCTTGTCCGGACTACTCCTCATAAACTAATTGTGCAATTTCATCCAAACTTTACAGGAATTATCAGAACTAATAGAGGTGCGCGGTTTAACCGGTATACCGGTAAACCACGGTCCGAGACATCTGTGGTACGTACCGCGGTACAGACCTGGAAAACCGGTACTTTAACTCTAATTTAAAGCAATTACAGATCCGTAAAATGTACTAAATAAAAAAACTTTTTCTGTTGTATATGTCAATGTTTCTTTGAGTTAACCTTTTTGCAAACAACTTTCGCCGACTGTTATCATTCTTCGATAGTTCTTAGCGAAAATTGAATGCTTTATCGATTACCGCATGTAAGCCAGAACTGTCGACTTGCATGATCTCAGTTGAAGAAGCAAGAATTGTCGACTTACATTTACTTGTCCAAATATCGCTTATTTGATACGAAAACTAATCGTAAAATTTGATAATTCATGAGGGCATTCCTTGCATAAAATTAGGGTGTTACTATTTTAAGTATTTATATAAATAGCGACCAATCAGGCTAGGGGTTTTCCTTACGTCACGCACTTACTGCATGCACATGGCAATTTACTAATTATAGAACGGCATAGAAACTGGATTAAAAGTAATGTTCGTTCAACTAATGAATATTAATTAAGCAGTAACATGGTCAGCTGTTTTCTATGTGATAATTATGTCTCCCCCACCTCGGGGGGAGACATATTGTTTTTGCCCTGTCCGTCCGTCCGTCAGTCCGTCCGTCAGTCCGTCAGTCCGTCAGTCCGTCCGTCCATTCTTCGTTTCCGGACGATAACTAGAGTTCCTTTTGACCTACAGCCCTCAAACTTCATAGGATGATTGGTCTTATAGAGCTGATGATCCCTATTGTTTTTGGGGTCAGTAGGTCAAAGGTCAAGGTCACACTGACCGTTGGTCAATTTCTCGTTTCCGGATGATAACTAGAGTTCCTTTAGACCTACAGACCTCAAACTTCATAGGATGATTGGTCTTATTGAGCAGATGATCCCTATTGTTTTTGGGGTCAGTAGTTCAAAGGTCAAGGTCACAGTGACCGTTGGTCAATTTCTCGTTTCCGGATGATAACTAGAGTTCCTTTTGACCTACAACCCTCAAACTTCATAGGATGATTGGTCTTATAGAGCAGATGATCCCTATTGTTTTTGGGTCAGTAGTTCAAAGGTCAAGGTCACAGTGACCGTTGGTCAATTTCTCGTTTCCGGATGATAACTAGAGTTCCTTTTGACCTACAGCCCTCAAACTTCATAGGATGATTGGTCTTATAGAGCAGATGATCCCTATTGTTTTTGGGGTCAGTAGGTCAAAGGTCAAGGTCACAGTGACCGTTGGTCAATTTCTCGTTTCGGATGATAACTAGAGTTCCTTTTGACCTACAGCCCTCAAACTTCATAGGATGATTGGTCTTATAGAGCTGATGATCCCTATTGTTTTTGGGGTCAGTAGGTCAAAGGTCAAGGTCACACTGACCGTTGGTCAATTTCTCGTTTCCGGATGATAACTAGAGTTCCTTTAGACCTACAGACCTCAAACTTCATAGGATGATTGGTCTTATTGAGCAGATGATCCCTATTGTTTTTGGGGTCAGTAGTTCAAAGGTCAAGGTCACAGTGACCGTTGGTCAATTTCTCGTTTCCGGATGATAACTAGAGTTCCTTTTGACCTACAGCCCTCAAACTTCATAGGATGATTGGTCTTATAGAGCAGATGATCCCTATTGTTTTTGGGGTCAGTAGGTCAAAGGTCAAGGTCACAGTGCAGTGGGGGAGACATGCGCTTTTTTACAAAAGCATCCTCTAGTTTTAATTTGCTTTTGGGGTACATGTTTGTTTTGGTTTCTGACACAGATTAATTAAATACTTAGCCCTTGCAATAAAAAATTTACAGATAGCAGCTGGGACTCTGTTATAAAATTAACTGACAAATAAATATTTGTCATCAGCTATCGTGCATTTGACCTATTATTTTATTAATCAATAAGCAATAAAAACATTTTATTTTTCCATTTTAAATTTTTAACTATGCAATTTATATAACAGTTGTTAAATGTTGAAAGAGACCAATATGTAATAATAAAAAAACAACAAGAACTGATCCATGACCCAATTAATTTATGATTGTCAACATGCGAAAGTACCTGATTGAAAAAAGTTAAATGATGCTTTGATTAATCTGTATTTTATAGATCTGCTTAAATTTAATATTTGAAATTCTATACCAGCCTACCTTGATACTTATTTTAGAGATAAAAATTAACCTATAGTGTACAATGAAAATTTGTGGTATACCGTGGTTTATACCGTGGTTTTTAGGAAAAAACCGTGGTATACCGTGGTATTTTCTTTCTGGCGGTACCCAACTCTAAGTACTAAGTCTAGTTGTGCATATTGTCAGCATTTTCCGGTTCAATGATTTTTGTCAGAGTTATGGCCCTTTAATAATTTTATTTTTAAAGTTTGTCCGGACTACTTATCTTATACCACTAATGCAATTTCAATGAAACTTTACAGGATTGATCTGTAGCTCAAGTCCTTGCGCATATTGCACGGGTTTTACGGTTAAATAATTTTTGGCCGTGTTTTTTTCTGTGTGTTACCAGATATGCAAAAGCTTGTCCGGACTACTCCTCATAAACTACTGGTGCAATTTTATCCAAACTTTACAGGAATGATCAGTACCAAGTCTAGTTGTGCACTGTCCGTCTGTCTGTCCATCTGTCACAAAATTTGTCCCAACATGAAATTGGCCATCATGAGGCGACACATGTGATTACTGATCGCTCTTGTCTTTTACTTTATTTTAATAGCTGGTTTAACCTTAAATGTATGAAGTATACACATTTAATCATTAAAAATAATTATATGTGCATTATGCAGCATAAAATACATATACATGAGTTATAATTTGTTATATATCTGCAGCAATTTATATGCTGTAAAGTATTTGTCATTTTGTGAGAATGTTTCCCTAATGCTATGAATACTATAGTATAATAAAGGTTTACTGAACCTGGGAAATGTATTGTATTCAATTAAGTTACAGTATTGTTAAAGTCAATATTTTTTTGTTACATGTAGCTTAAAATTTAAAGCTACATTCCCACAGATGAGCCAAAATATATCAAGAAAATCAAACAAGTTTGAGAAAAATATACAAGCAATTAAGAAAAATAAAAGATTCAAGACGTAAGTAATAATTTAAATGTTATCTGCAATTAACAACTGATTTTGCAGTATTTATCACCATATTTCTACTGTGTGATTAACACATCAAGGGTTATTTTTACATATTTGACCTCTTTTTAGTAATTGTAATTGTAAGTGTCATTTGCAATGTGCAAATTACTTTCTTTTTTCACTCCACAATATTTTACTTTTACATTTTCAAAAAATTTTCATAAAAATTAGCATGACTGCTTTAATTAGACTGACACCTGAGAATTCTTTATAAACAAATGAATATATAATAATTTATGAATTATATGTACAATATATATAATGTTTGTGTATATGTAATCAGTATATGATGAGAAACTATGTAGTTCAAGTCAATAAAATGTTCTTCTTCTTCTTATAAAATCTGAAATATATGTCAGGCAATGATAAATAAAGTGTAAAAATATCTTTTATAAATTTAAAGGGAACAAGTTTGAAAGAGGGTAAAATATATTATCTTAAGTTTTAAGCTTAACAACACCTTTTCTTAACTTCTTTATTTGGCTGATGAAATGATGATTTTAATTAATTTATGATACTATTGTATACCCATGTATAATAAAATATTATCAAACTGGGCTGAATGTCAGTACTATTTAAACCTACATGTATGTTAATTATTGTACTGAAGAAATGCAGATTTATGTAATGTGTTACATTGAAGAAAATTGCTTTGCTCAGATCTTATTTACCTACATGTACATGTATGACACTATCTTGTCTTTCTGGTCAAACAGGTCTGTTCTTTCATAGCTTAGCCTTAAGGTATGCTTGATATGACAATGATGTCTATATTGTAATAAGTAACTTGCAATGAAGATATCATGCATGGAAATCATGTCCTTGTAACAATAATAGTGACAATTGTGATTCATACTGTGTGAAATATAATTATGGTAGTATGTAAAAGTGTAAATGACAATTAAGATGTTAATTATTGTTCTTACGCTAAATCACAATGATGGCAAATAATCATT